ACCAGGGGAACTATATGAAGGTCATCGCGGAGGCCCTCGAGTATGGGACGCCGGTTATCATCGAAAACGTGCAAGAGGAACTCGAAGTGCCCCTCGACCCGATTCTGATGCATCAAACCTTCGTGCAGGGCGGAATAAAGCACATCAGCTTGGGAGAGGCTGTGGTGCCCGTTAACCCGAATTTCCGGCTCTACATGACCTGCAATCTGCGAAACCCCCACTTTCTTCCCGAAACTTTCAACAAGGTTACGGTCATCAATTTTGCCCTGACCCAGAACGCCTTGATGGACCAACTGCTGAGCATTGTGGTGGCCAAGGAGCGACCCGATCTCCAGGAGCTGCGCATCATGCTAACAACTGAGGCGGCCGCCAACAAGGGTGCTCTTCGTGACGCAGAGAACATGATCCTCAAGACCCTAAGCGCTGGCGGGGACATCCTGGAAAACGAGGGCGCCATTCAAATCCTCGCAGACTCCAAAGGCCTGTCCAAGGACATTGTGGAGAAGCAGGAGGCGGCCAAGGAGACTGGGGCCAAGATCGAGACCTTCCGTCTGAACTACAAGCCCGTGGCTGTGCATTCCTCCATTCTATACTACTCCATTACGGATCTGCCCAACATAGATCCCATGTATCAGTTCTCCCTTAACTGGTACATAAATCTCTACATGTACTCTATTGAAACGGCCAACAAGTCCAAGGACCTTCCACGTCGCATCAAGTTCCTGGTCGATGGCTTCACCCGGAACCTTTACAACAACGTTTGTCGTTCCATTTTCGAGAAGGATAAGTTGTTGTTCTCCTTTATCCTGACAGCCCGCATCCTCCTTGGAACGGGACAGGTGGAAATGCGACACTTTGCCCATCTGGTCACCAACGCCAAGGAGTCTACAAATATTCCGCCCAATCCAGATCCTAGCTGGGTTACCGAGACGGTGTGGCTGAATATCCTGCGACTGGAGGAGCTGAAAGAGCTGCGTGGCATTGCGGACCACTTCTGTAAAAACTTGTCAGCGTGGCAGGCGATCTACGACCACGGTTCCCCGGAGTCACAGCCCCTGCCGGCTCCGTGGCACGACAAGACCACCGGCTTTGAGAAAATGATCGTCTTGAAAGCCCTGCGACCCGACTCTGTTTTTCTAGCCGTGAGAAACTTTATTGCCGGGAACATTGGGGAGCAGTACGTGACACCACCAGAGTTTGATATATCCAAGTCGTATGCGGACTCGACAGCCCTCACTCCACTGGTGTTCATTCTGTCGCCAGGAGCAGATCCCTTGGGCTCTCTGCTGGCGTTCGCCGAGAAGATGGGTCAGGAGGAGTCGTTCCAGAGCATATCCCTGGGCCAGGGTCAGGGACCGATTGCCACGGCTCTGATCAAAAATGCCCAGGAGATGGGCTATTGGGTGTGCCTTCAAAATTGCCATCTGGCTGCCTCCTGGATGCCAGTCCTCGAGTATATGTGGGAAAATATGGACACCTTTAACACCACACGTGAGTGAAGATGATGCCTTACCCAAATTGTACACTGTACTAAGTAATATTCTCCTATTCCTTTCAGCCAACTTCCGCATCTGGTTGACTGCCTATCCGACGCCCCAGTTTCCGGTTACCATTCTACAAAACGGAGTCAAAATGACCAACGAGCCTCCCACGGGTCTGAAGGAGAATCTGATGAGGTCCTACAACTCGGAACCCATTAACGACTACGAGTTCTACACAGGATGTGCCAAGCAGGACCGTGCCTTTACCAGGTTACTCTATGGTATCTGTTTCTTCCACGCAGTTGTCCAGGAGCGGCGGAAGTACGGCCCACTGGGCTGGAACATTGCCTACGGGTTCAACGAATCAGACTTGCAGATTTCTGTGCTCCAATTAAGTGTGAGTAGAAGCGATAGATTAGGAAGGATACAATATTAATACCCATTTTAATCCGTAACAGATGCTGCTCAACCAGTACGAGCATGTTCCGTACGATGCGATCTCGTACCTCACCAGTGAGTGCAACTACGGTGGCAGAGTGACGGATAACTGGGATAGACGTGCCATTGTGACTATCCTGGCGGACTTCTGCAATGCCCAGGTGGTGGGAGACAACAAGTACAGGTTCGCTGCTGACGACCGTTACATCCTACCTCGGAAGACTGAGCACCGTGAAATCCTTCGCTACCTGGACGAAAGTATCCCCTCTTTGGCGCCACCGGAGGTCTACGGCTTGCACGCCAATTCTGGAATTACGAGGGATCTGCAAACCACAAAAACTCTGCTGGACTCGATGATTTTGCTGTTAGGAAGCGAGGCAGCCGGATCCTCGGGAGCCGGTGTGAGTGTGGAGCAGGTCATTCTTGGCACGATTAAGCAGATCGAGCAAGAAATGCCACCGGACATGGACATCGAGGGAGCGGCTGAAAAGTATCCGGTGGATTACAATGAATCCATGAACACAGTGGTGGTGCAAGAAATGGAGCGTTTCCTGAAGCTTCAGAAGGAGATTCGAGCCTCTTGCCGGGATTTGGCAATGGGTATCAAGGGTATTATTGTAATGACTCCGGACCTGGAGAATGTTATGACAGCCATGAAGTTTAATCGCATACCGACCAAATGGATGTCGAAATCGTATCCATGCTTGAAGCCACTGGGGTCCTACGTGCAGGATTTGTACAAGCGACTCAATTGGCTTCATGATTGGCACCACCATGGGAAACCACCCACCTTTTGGCTATCAGGATTCTTTTTCACCCAGGCCTTCCTCACTGGAGCCATGCAGAATTTCGCCAGAAAGTACAAAATTCCCATTGATACTCTAACCTTTGACTACGTGGTCCTGAAGGTGGAGACGAAGACGGCGCCTCCAGAGGACGGAGTCTACTGCAATGGCCTGTACTTAGAAGGTGCTCGCTGGGATTGGAACGATAGTGTCCTGGTGGAACAGTTCCCTAAGATCTTGGTTTACGCAATGCCCGTGATATATTTTAAACCGTGTACCATTTTGGAGCTGGTTGAGGGAACACGCTATCGCTGTCCACTTTACAAGACCGGTGAGCGAAAGGGAACTCTCTCTACCACGGGGCATTCCACGAACTATGTGGTGCCGCTATTATTAAACACCCATGTGAAAGCCTCCCATTGGGTCAAGCGGAGCGTGGCTCTCATCTGCCAGACTAACGACTGAGCTCCGATTCTCGGAGACAATTTCATGTTTACTTTTTCCATGACCCATCTTTGGATAAATGTGATGTGGGTTGTTCTTGAAGCCTCTGGAGATTTAAAACAATTTCGGTTGCAATTGCATTAACGTCTTTGGAGGTTACAATAACACTCCATATCATAAAACTTAAAAAAACAATGGTTGTAGTATGTATGCTTTAAATGGTTAAGGGTTAAGGGGAGGGTAAGGTCAAATCATGCCAAAAAAGCCATGTTTTTGTGATTTTTTTCCTGACGACACAGTTAAAATTTATTTATTCAACCAACGGTATATTAAAGTATGACATTAGAAGAATGTTTAATAAAATTTTTACAAAAAAATATTAAAAAATATGGCAACGGTAGCAGTTGTCCGGACGTGTCGCCAAAAAAAGTTGAATTGCGGTGCCCCTCATAACTCGGTGCTGGATCATTTGCAATCAAAAAATGAAAATTCATTCGTTAGATAATAGTTCGCCCCAGGTAACGCTGTAAAGGTTTTTTGAAAATTGCAATTTTTTAATTTTTCGAAGACTTTGAAGTGAAAAACTCAATTTTTTGGGAAAAAATAGGTTAATTTGTCATTGCGAAATCAAAACTATGAACAAAAAAAATAAAACTCGACAGCGTTACCTCGTAAAATATGTACAGAAATAGTGTTTAAAATTTCAAAAGGATCGGTGCAGTAGTTTTGATGTTATGAGGGGCACCGACTTTGAAAACGTGAGTTGTGGGAATAACGCTTTAAAGTTTTAAACAAAACAAAATTCAGTGTAAAACGTTTGCAAGCAACTTCGTCAATAACTAATAACTTCGTCAATTTTGCTTTAATTGACTTGAAATTTTGACACAATATTCTTCAGATATGCATTCAATTTAAAAAATAAAAAAAAATGGGGAAAAAAAAAATTTAATACCTTACCCTCCCCTTAAATGGTTTTGAAGGACACTTTGTCTTTTATATTGGGGATATTGTTTTTGGAAAAATACAGGAAAAAAAGTTTTTTCGCATTCAGGAGTTAATTATAAATTACCTTATCGGCAGATCAAACCATATATATATAAGATCATAATCACAAAGAATAAAAAAATGAATGAATCGAAAAAATTAGTTTGCTTGATTCTGGAAATCTTTTGATGCAGATTGAAGAAGATGAGTTCTTTGATAAGTAAAAGGGATTCCGTTTTTAAATCGGTTGCCAAATAGATAAAATATTCGCAAAAAGGTGAATAAAAATTCTAAAATTTTGTCGAATAAATAATGTCGAAATCGTTGTTCCGATTTTTGTAACTTCATGAAAGAAAAATGTTCATTACTCGGCTAATATTTGGCCGATTTCAAAATGTCATACCTTCCCAATTTTGGAACTCAAAATACTATCACGTCAAATTAAAACCTGGCTATAAAAATTTTGAACAATTTTTCGTAATTTTTGTAAGGGGTACCCCTTTGATTTTTGGCAAAAAATTTGGAAAAAATTAGTTTGCTTGATTTTTGAAACTTTTGATATTGATTGAAGCAGATGGGTTCTCTGATAAATAAAAGGGATTCCGTTTTTAAATCGGTTGCCGAATAGATAAAATATACGCAAAAAGGTGAATAAAAATTCTAAAATTTGGTCGATTAAATAATGTAGAAATCGTTGTTCCGATTTTTGTAACTTCATGAAAGAAAAATGTTCATTGCTCGGCTAATATTTGGCCGATTTCAAAACGTTATACCATCCCGATTTTGGAACTCCAGATTTTATCATATTCAATAAAAACCTGCCTTATAGACCGTACTCAGGAAATTCTGCAATATAATAATACATATATTTACATTACAGGGTATTTTCAATGATATAAAATCTGTATTGGCCTTTATAAAACCATACATTATTCCTTCATGGATTTATTTGAGAAATTTCCAATTAGTTGTATTTTACATAAAATCACATTTCCCAACAGATTTCTTATAAGTGAGAATGGTTTGTTTAAACTCTGTTAAAGAAAAATACAAATTTAAAATTATATTATGCGCACTTAATGGTTACGATTTGCAAATTCACAGCTTCAGAAACGCTGGGCTCTCTGAAATCAATTGATTGGCCCGGGACTCAAATTTGGAAGCCCCTCCGGAGCCGGGGGCTTGGGATGCGTCTCACTTACTGCGTGCGGCAAGGTAGGGTGTCCAAAGCCGCCGCAGCATCGCCCTCATTAGTGTCGTTAGAGCTGTCGCTGCTGCGCCGCTGACTGGTGGCATTGGACACTGGTGATGGTGTGGAACTAGTGCTGCTGCTGCCCCTTCGATGGCGTGCCAGGTGAGCTCTCCCAGCTGCGGTCGTTCGGTTAGCAACCCGCGGAAGGCGAACATTACGATAACGGCTTTCTCGGGATACTGGAGAGCTAATAAAATGGCGTATAAAATTCTGGAACTGATTAATATCAAAGTTCTCAGTGTCATTAATGTTTCTCTCAAAGTTCCGCTTCAGGGTCTTCCTAAGGATTTCCGCTTTGGGTGTTTTCTGTGAAGAAACCAAATGGTGTAAAGGTAAGCACTAAATTACTGATTAGACTTACCTCTTCGGAACCGTTAGGAGCCCAAATTTTAACATCGTGTTCCAAGCCTGAGGTGGCCAGAACCGGCATCCAGGGGTGCGGCTCCAGACAGTTGACCACTCCAGCGTGATCGCCCTTCATGAAATTAATAATCGCTTCCGTGTTCTTATCCCAAAGAAAAATGTTGCCGCAGTCGCTGCCACTAACGATGTACTCCGATCTCGGTCCGAAAAAGTTCACACCCTTGATGGTGCGGCTGTTACTAAACGACCAAAGTACTATATTAGTAGAAGGCTGAACTTTTGTGAATTTGCCTTACACGTGTCCCTTGTAGCTGTGCAGGGTTTCGCCATCCGTGTAGTTGCGGCTATCGAACAGATAGATCCAATCATCGCTGTAGGAGGCCAGAATCTCGCTTCCGCTGTAGTTGTAAACTGCACAGGTGATCTGGGTTATCTTGGTCTGGGCACGGGATGGAAGAAGGGGAGAACAGAGATTAAAGTGTTTGGGCTTGGGCGCGGAATCGCATGCTCACATCCGTTACTTCGCGCGGAGTCATCTCATGAACGGTCTCGGTCAACTTCCGCTTGTCGTAGACCCGCAACTTTTCATCCGATCCGCTAACCATGAATTCCGGTGCAAATGGATGATGCGCAATGCTAAACAGGCGCACTCGTCGGCTTCTTTCGTTCCGTTCCTGCGTCACAACGCGCAGCATTGTGGAGGAAGTAGTACTGCAACGCAGATCATAATGTTTAACAGCCGCATCTTCACCAGCGCTCATCACTTCATGTCGGCTATGGGGCACTACTACGATCTTGTGTACCGAATCGACATGAGAGTACAGGCGAGTGGGTTTGGTGGTACCACCAGAAGGCGGTATAACGGCTCGTCGCACTTGCCCATCTCGGCTGGCTGTCACAATGTCCAAACACCCCACACTATCAATAAACTTGGCCTGGAAGATATTCATGTTGTGGCCGGAGCGAAAGCTGTGCACCGCCTTGTCATTCGCCCAGTCCCATACGATTATTTTGAGGTCATCGGACCCTGAGCAGATCAAGTCCCCCGAGCGGTTGAAATTCAGGCAGTTAACGCAGCCCGAGTGCTGGCTTAGGGAGCTCAGTTGTGTTAACTGTTCCACCATTTGCCGTGAGGCATAGTATCCGCGTCCAAAGCTTTCCACTGAGGTATGACCACCGCGCCAATCAATACGATTGGTAATGTTGTTCTCCCGATGCATTAATTCCTGGGCGCAGTTCCAGGTGTATACCGGTTTGCACTTGCACATGACTTCTGATACAGAATTTTCAATATTTAGCTGTTGGTTTGCATCGAAGTGTTCATGTTCCCCTTCATGTCCGTCGTCATCATCCTGAAAATTAATATTTGTTAACCGGTATGGTCAAAACTTTAGTTGAATTCACCTCAGTCGAAGACAGATCGCTGGAATATGTGGGGAAAGGGTCGCTGTGGGTGGACGAGCTATCATCGGATGAGGAATTGAACAGAGCTGGAACTTCCTGTTGCGGTTCCTGCTCCTGGTCCATCGGATCTACGGCCTCCCCGGCAACGGCGGCTTCTCCGTGGTCACTGTCATTTCTTTGGGTCTCCCAGCTAGAGTTTGTGTCTGAGTCGGTCAACGAGCCCACGACTTCGAAATTAAACCTAGAGCGTCGTATAAGGCGTGGTGGCATGAACTGCTCATCCGATAGGAGGAGCAGTGGTGGTTCTGCTGGCGGCTCGACCGCATCGTCATTCACCTCATCATCGCTATCAATGGCATTGCTAGTGCTGGGGGAGTGACTCTTTTGGGTGTTAGCTAAAACAGCGCTGGCAGACTCGGGAGACAGCTGACACTCTAGAAGGGATGGGACCTGCTGATGGTCTTGCTCTTCTGGTCCAATTTCCTGAGCATCACCAGGCGGGTTTTCTTTCTCAACCGCATCTGACAGGTTTTCTTTCTCCATAGGTTTCCCCTCACCGTTGTTATTGTTGCTGGCAGTGCTTGCGACTGTAGTGGTACTAATCGGACTCTCGTTCGCACTGGCACTTTTCTCCACGCTGGCCCCCCAAGGGAAAAAATCAATCTTTTATTTAAGGCTCAGGGCTTACTTAACAGCACCCACTTACCCAACCTGAATGGACTCTCCAAGTCCACCGGAATCTCCGGAATCCAGAGAATCATTACGTTTCTGTCTTTTGCAGGCGGAAGACGTCCTTCCGTCTGCTTTCTCCTCATCCACGTCCATATTAAGTGGAGCCACCAGCCGAGATATATAGAGCCTTAGTTCCTTCTATTTGCCGACTCTGCCTAGATAGATTTCCAGATTTTCCCTTTTGCGCTTGTTTACGTTAGTTAGATGGCAGGAGATGGAACTTTTGCTCTTATCGTCGATAGACCGATAGCTTTGGCGCGTTTTTGGTAGAATTTGAACGCCTACGGCGAACAGCGTTAGAAAAATTTTGAGCTCGCAAAGTCAAAAAATTATTATGACAATTTATTTTGTAATGATATTCGAGCTACTTTTAGTCATCTTAACAGCCTGCTTTGGTTAGTCACAAAAGTGAAAAATCAAACTAGTGTTGGAACACGCTTAAATTTATTTAAAAATATTTTAAAATTTAAATGGATGTTTTTAATGACGTTATTAAATTTTTAATATAAGATGTTTTTACTCAGATACAATAAAATTTGTTTGTTCGCTGCGATTCAAAATAAACTTTGCTTAAAGTTTTTTCAAATATAATTCTCTGATTATTCGGTTAAAAATTCGAAATAAGTTTTAAATAAATTGTAATGAAATAAAATGGCGTATTAATATATAACTAATACAAACATTAGTAACATTATACTAATAAATCCGCCAGTCTTCAAAAATTTTTATGTTTCCACTTCCAAAACACCATGGGCCTCAGACATGCTTGAGTAGCTCTACATGTCTGGCTCTAGACTTGGTTCATTTATAAGTTGGCTGGCGGCGAAGACGGTACGAAGTTTCGGCCGCGAGTGGAACCGGTCGAAAAAGGCAGTTTAATACGTTCGGCCATAAACCTGAGATATACATAGTACGTATCGCGGAGAATACAAGACTGTGAAGCGATTGGATACGCAGAGCACGTCGTCACTGGAGTAGATACGCCCTACCGACAAACTGCCTCCTCAGTGAATGTACTTGTTTTGGAGTTACACTGGGGCTCCTCATAGTGAAACCTACTTAAATATAAATACGTATATGCCACATGAACGCTAATTGGCTTTCCACTTCCTCTACTGCGCATGCGTAGCCCACAAAACTTTGACGGATTTGGAGTTCATACCCACCCAACAGACGTATTCTTGGATTACGACCTGGTTTTTTCCTCTCGATTTCGTTACAGACCAACAATTTTTTAGTGATATTTGTTTTCTCACAAGTTTGGCGGGTCCTAACTCGTGATGAACGCCAGATTCCGGTTTGCCAGCGGCTGGGACAAACAAAGAGCAGAAAAGAAACAAATTAATATGCAAAAGTTTAGTGGAAGCAAAAAATGTAAAATAGCCGGAAAGTGAAACCACTTTATGCTTTGTTTTCCATCATTTTTTTCGGGAGCGCACACCTATTTTCCGCCTCGAAAAATATTACATTTTTTAGAGTGCCTTTTCGTGCCATTTTTTTTTATCAGCGACTTCATCATCAAGGTGAACCTGTCTTCCCCCTCGCCGGTATCAAAAACTCGCTGGTGGCATGATTCACGGCTGCAAGTTCTGCTTGGCGTTGCACCCAAGATCGCTATTCCCACTGGTCAGCTTTTTAAGGGCATCCAGGCGAAAGTTGAGAATCAGGTTCGACAGACCGAAGACCGCTTCCCCGCGCCAAATTGCCAAATACCCCAGAACGGGGGAACAAAGCGACGTCTTTGATTACATTTGACTTCATTTCGATCTTAAGATACATTCTTCTGACTCACTGAAATTAGTGTTTACAAATGGACATTGTTTGTGATTCATTGAGTGAGCATAAGATTCTCTCTTGTATGTTTTTCCCGCATTTCTGGGTAGATTTTTCTGCCTTTCACTTTTCCAGTTTAATTAAAGTGCCAATTGCGTCGAATTGAAATTGTCACAACATAGTTGAGAGTCAACCCGCAAAGCATTTAACTCAATTGCGTTTGTTTTTTTTCTTCAGGAACGGAACGCAGCAATGAAGATGGTATGGGGAGAAGCAACGCAGCTCTGGCTGCTCGTTTTCCTGGGCACCTGGGGGGCTTCGGTGGTCGCCAAGACAGGTAAGAAAGAAGCCAGATGGCTCATGGAAAGGCTAACCGCAAGGGGTGGCTAATTCTGGTTGTTGTTCACTCATAGGACCTGCACACGACAAGGTGGTAGTTTGCTATATTTCCACCTGGGCGGTTTACAGGCCGGAGCAGGGCGCCTATGCCATAAACAACTTCGATCCCAACTTGTGCACCCATGTGGTGTACGCTTTTGCGGGCCTGGATATCGCCCAGGCAGCCATAAAATCCCTGGGTGAGTTTATGCAAATTTAAAGACTCCCTTTCTGTTACATGACCAGCTTTCCCCTTTAGATCCTTGGCAGGACCTCAAGGAGCAGTACGGCAAGGGTGGCTACGAGCAGCTGACCGGCCTGAAGCGCAGCCATCCGCATCTGAAGGTCAGCTTGGCGATTGGCGGCTGGAACGAGGGCTCTGCCAACTACTCCACCCTGGTCTCGAATGATCTCCTGCGCGGCAGATTCGTCAAACAGGTGTCAAGCTTCGTGCGGAAGTATGACTTCGACGGCTTGGATCTGGACTGGGAATATCCCACACAGAGGGGCGGCAAGCCCGCGGACCGAGAGAACTTTGTGGCACTGACAAAGGAGCTGCGGGAGGAGTTCGACCAGTACGGTCTTCTCCTGACCTCCGCTATCGGGGCAGCCAAGAAAGTAATTGATGAGGCGTACGATGTCCGGCAGATATCGCGGTACCTGGACTTCCTACACATCATGTGCTACGATTACCACGGCAGCTGGGACCACAAGGTGGGGTACAATGCCCCGCTGACGACTTCTGGAGAGGATCCTCTGAGTGTGGTGAGTCGACTAGATGTTTATTGTTTCAAAATTCTAATATCCGTCTTCTCCCAGCAATTTTCTATCGACTACCTATTGAAGCTGGGAGCTCCGCCTTCCAAGCTGGTGCTGGGACTGCCGTTTTATGGGCGCACCTTCAAGACGCTGGCGAACGGAAACTTGAACGATGCCAGCGACGGAGCCGGATTTAAGGGTCCCTTCACCCGGGAGGACGGGTTCCTGGGCTACAACGAGATCTGCGCTACGCTGAGCAACCGAACGTCGGGTTGGGAAAGGCAGTGGGACCCCCAAACCAGTCAGGTTCTGGCCAGGTCGGAGAGAAACGTGTTCACACAGGAGATCAGCGTGGTGACTTACGACAGTTCGCGTTCCATTGCCAACAAGGTCCTTTTCGCCATGTCCAAGCGGTTGGCAGGTGTAATGGTGTGGTCTGTGGATACGGATGACTTCCTAGGCATCTGCGACTTGGACGTTGATACCTATGAGGACTTTAAGAAGGTTGTCTCCGCTCCAAAAAGGCTGAGTCGGAGCTATCCCCTGCTAAGAACAATAAACGAGGCCACGCTTCTGGCTGTGGAGGAGCTAGCCACTCCGGAGGTGCCACCTGATAACTCAGAAAACGAGATTCCCCACGGCAGCATGGCAGACAGAAAGAATTCTGCCGCTACCGTAGTAAGCCTGGGCCTGGGACTCATCTCCGTTGTTATGCTGCGAGGGGTGGGGTCGTTATTCTAAGTAATCACCTTGTTTAGGTAGTCATTAAATAATAAATCTTACTTTTAAACACAAGAGAGTGTATCTTTCATCTCTACCCTCCCGATATAAAAGCAATGTGGATTTCTTTTAAAATGTTTTGGTTATACTTGGTGTACTTCTTTAATAAATTTAACTGGCGCTCTAACATTTAACTAACTAATATATATATATATATATTTATAGTGTATATGGATGTGTGTATACGCAACTATGTAAATACCCATAGATTATCATTGCTACAAGTTTCAACATTCAATTCAATGCTACCATATGTCCGAATCATAATAGCATATAGATGCTCTAATTGTAAACCATGCAAAGGATATCGCGTAAAATAGTTAAAGCAAGGGTTTTCAGGGCCTCCAGGACCTAAAAACCGGTGTGGAATTAGGGGCTAGGATATACATTAGATAAGAGTTCCGCTCTGGATGGCAAACATTACAAATGCGACGATACTGAAATTAACGTGGACCTTAAAGTGACCGATGCGATGGAGTGAGTATTGGTTACAGAATTATAAATTATAATTAACCCAACTATAAAATGGGTCGGGGAATCCTTCAGTTGATAACAATAAAGCTAAGAGATTGGGTTCTTCAACCCTGATGGTTTTTAGCTTTCCCCAATACTCATCGCATCATTAACACCCAAAACGTCCGATCCACAGATCTTTTACAGAAAATAATGGAGATGAAACCACTGCTAGACAAATACTTCTTGATCCTCGGAGGCTCACAACCGACCCCCATCCGAGGACCAGTCGGATCGGTCTGCTCCACTGCTGCTGTAGATGTCCAGCTGCTCCCGCGACCGGGTCTTGGGCTTAGTGGACTTGCTCTTGGCCTGTTGAGGCCGATGATGGTAGTGGTTCCCCCGATCGTTGATGACTTCGTAGTGAGAGTCCCCTGCAATGGCGGAGGTTCCTCCTCCTGCTGCTGCCGTTCCTCCAACGCCACCACCGCCTGCACCGGCTAATAGCAACTCGTGGATATTCTTGGTGGAGCGCCGATGCGCCTCCAGGCACTGCGACTCCGACGAGTACGGAAAAGAGGCCACAAAGTTGGAGGACTGCTGGCCACCACTGGTCGGGGGATCGCTGGCAAAGTTGGCTGGCGGCGGCAGAGGCAGATTTCCGCCGCAAGGCGTCGAAGGTGACAGGTCTGTGAACTCCGTCTTGGCCTCCGACTCAACGGAGCACATGCTCTGGCGCGAGATCTCCTTTTGAAGCTGCTGCTCCTTAGCGGTCGGCATATTTAGGTTTGAGCTCTCGTAGTCGTCCTCTCCACGCCGGCCCTGTGGAATAGGCAGCCGACTTCGGACGGAGTGCTCACGACCTCGACCAAATCTCTGCGCCAGGTAGTCCTCGTTGGCGGTGCTCTGCCCACTGCTGTGACTGCAATTACTGTGCTGGTGCTGGTGCTGATGAGCATGGGCGTGTGAATGGCTGTGATTGTGATTGTGGACATGGCTATGCTGCTTCTGGGCGTTGTCGTAGAAGCTATCGTTCTTCACGGACATGTTGCAGCAGCTGCTCACATCGGCAAAGTACACCTCCGACTCCGCGGGGTCCGCTGCTCCTGATCCAGATCCAGCTTGCTCCTTAGCAATAGCTCCATTGGAGTCTTGATAGCCGCTATTTTCAACCCCCGCGGATTGAGGCTGTGCTTGCTGGGGCGGATTAGCAGGCTGCACCACTTGCTCCTGCTTGGCGAATAGTTGCTGGACATTGGGGCGCTGTTGGCCCGGGTTGCTCTGCGGACCAATGCTCTTGGCACCGGTTCCCGCCTCCAGGCGTTTCTTCAGCTTTCTTGTGGGCAGGGTGTTTGAGCAGCGTTCCCGTTCCCGAGGATTTCCACCATCACTGTCGGACGGCGTGTTTTCGTATTCCACCTTGGATTTGTAGGCAGAGGAACGAGTGGCTGCCACTAATGAGTTCACGTTCCCAACACTGCTGAGACCATCCATCCGCTCCAGAGTGGCGGACTGGCCTTGGAGGCGTTGCAGCTGAAGTTGTTGCAACTGCTGCTGCTGGGGGTGTGGGAGATGGGTGTGTTGATGCTGCATGGTTGGATGCACTGGTTCCTGGCTAAGGGTAATAGCTGTGGCGGGCTGATTCCCCGCTAGACACGCCGTGGGTTGTAGATATTGATAGTAGCCCCGTCTGGCCGGACTATTCGGATCACTGTAAGGTGGCGGGGGACCCCAGACGCCGTAAGGCAAGGCGCTCGGAGGCGGTATTCCATTGTAGGCGGCGGTCACAGAGGGTTCTTCAATTAGCATTTGGTTGGTGTCCCCCGGAGCAGCCGCCGAAGAGCTGAATCCGTACTGTGAGTCCGGGCTGGCGGTCGCCTGCCGAAAGCGATGTCCTGCATCCGACGTGGTCCTTTGCCAGGGCATACGAGGCCAGCTCCAGCCACTGGTGCTCCTTCCTCCTCCGTTGGCACCTGCACCGCCTCTGTCACCACTGCGGCAGGCTCCTACAGTGTCTTCACCTCCAGGATTCGGGGAGTAAAAATTTCCCGGCGGTTGGGCAGTCCAGAAGCGCTGTTCTGCGCCCCCACCGCTGGCTGCCACAGCTGCCGCCATAGAGGCCTCATCCCACGGATAGCCAGTGGCTTGCAGGGGCAATGTCAGCTGGCGGTGGGCGTGGCACTGTTCACAGCAGCGGCAGTTCAGCATCCTGCCAGGGCCCAAAGACGGCGGAGGCGCTTGACTGGCATACAAGGAACGGCAGCGCAACTCCAGCTGCTCCCAGTACATCTTCTTCCGCTCGTGGCTGAGAAGCTGGTAGACCAGCATGCAGCTGAAGACGGCGATAAGAACTCCCGCCACGGATAAGCCAAAGATGGCCCTGAGGCAGGAGTACAGGGATCCGTGGACAACGTTGCAATCGGAGAGGGAATCAAATACCAGGCGCACTCCTTCTGAAAGAGATGGTTGGGAATTAGTTGGATATGGGACGTATCCTCAATGGCAACTTACCCTTATCGACACGGTCCACCTGGGATTCAATTAGGTCCGAATAGCAGGTGCAGGTGCGCGTCTTTTGGGCATATTCACATTCTCTCAGGGCCTGTAGGCGACTCATATGGAGCACAGTCGTGGTAACCGTCACCAGCGCGCAAGTCAGGGCGGACACCAAGCCACAGGCTCCGGACAGTTTGATCTTTAAACGGAAAAGATTTGGGTTAATGGTGAAGAGTTCTGTGACATGTCTCTGGTTACTTACCAAGTAACTGTAGCGATTGCGCCGCCTGGCTAGGCTCATGATGCAAATTCCCGTCAGGATAAGGAGGGTGGCGGGCACAAAGGTTGGCACAGTCTCGAAGTTACCCACTGTTATGGTGTATGAGTGAAGCAGGAAGTAGACGCCCAGGAAGAGAACGCCCAACAGGCAACTGAAGCCACCGCAGATGAGGCACCACACCACGTACTTCTTGATTCCGACTCCATGGCGATGAGCTGAAGTTGAAAGAGAAAAAATACAATTAGATTTCAGCCGTAAACTCCAGAAACAGCAGTCCCAACCAGAGCCGCGATGATGGGAATCGACGTTCGCTGAGGAGGGCGGCGGTGCTGGGACCCAGGAGCAGGGTGGTGGCATGCTGTACTGCACGAACTGCATCACCGGATAGCCGTGCATGGTGAATGGACTATCTCTGCTCCAGATTCCAGAATCAAGTCGAATGGTTTTACAGGCAGGAGGAACACATCCTGGCCAGAACTTGGAAATTCCGGAACACGTTTTCCTCCCTTTTTCACTCTTTCCGTTTTTCTATCTTCTTGGGACAGAAGAGAAAAATATCTACACAGCAGTGGAAGCTGGCTGAGATGCGGGGCTGGAGATGCGACACAGCCTCCGCTAGCAGCTGCGCGGACTAGGGTTAGTGGGGTGGTTTGGTGACTGGGCGATTGGGTGGCAAGTGCTGGTGCTGAAGCAGAAGCTGGGAGGTGGCGTCAACGCCGGAGTGTGCGTTGCAATTACAGGAACGGTGTCAACTGAAATCCCGACTGACATTAGCACAGCGCCAACCCCCCAAGCAAATATTTTGCACCAGCTCCAGGACAAAAATAGAGAGCGAGCGGGCAGCACTGCGCCGGCGCAGGACATGCGGATGAGGAAGCAGCGCCAAAGCGGAAGCTGTGCCTGGAGTGGATGGCAAATCAGTGACAGAGGGGGCACTGTGATTCATTGAAAAGAGGTGGAAAGTGGCAGCACTGATGGCTATCGAAATGGATGTGAAGTAACGAAGTTGGGGATACCCTAGAAAACCAAAATCCTTTCACTCACCTATGGATCCATTGGCATTACTCCTGGGACGGGGCGGAGGACGCGGCGGCAGTGGCGGACGATTGTCGTCCATTATCTGTGACTTCAGCCCTGACCTCGATGAAGCATTCACCGCGCCGTCTAATTCCGTATCGTGGTAGATGTCGTTGCAACTGTCTCCCGTGGGCTGTGTCTTGGGGGGCAGTTGTCCTGCACCACCACCGCCACCGGATCTCGGTTTCTTTTTCTTGATCATGGTGCTATTGTTATCCGACTCGCTTACCGTGATCTCGTCTGCTCCGAGCATAGCGTCGGACAGCAGACTTCGCTTGTGCTGCGCCAGAGTGGAGTTGCCTCCACCACCTGCGGTACATGTGCACTCCAGATCGCAGTCGCAGCTCCCAGCTCCCGCCGAGGTGTCTAGCTGCAGCTGGGCTTGCTCTTCATGAAGAGCCTGATAGGAGTGATTGAGCAGCGACTGAGCCGACTGGGTCTTGAGGGGCGGGTGTCTAGAGGAGCTCTCTTGCTGGGTGCTGGGAGTGTGCTGGTGCACCAGTACCGCCACTGCCATGGACGCGTTCTGCTGGGCAGGCGGAGCCATGGTGGGCGGATGAGCAGGTGCCCGGCCACAGGAACAGGGGCATTGGCAGGGCGGGAGTGACTGGGAAATCTGCTGATGCTGTTGCTGCTGCTGCTGCTGCTGCTGCATGTAATGCGCCGGATATTGGATGTAATGATAGTGATGAGGCAACTGGCCACCAATTTGAGGAGCCTGTTCCTGGCCCAGACTCGACTCTGAGGCGACACGTTGCAAGGATGCCGAGGCTTTTGTTGTTGCCGTTGCTGCTGCTGCCTCCATGGCGCTTAGTGTTGTTGTTGGTCAATAACCGGTTTGACCCTTTTCAACTCCAAATACTCATTTATGCTGCACACAGCACACACTCACTCCACCACATTCATTTGGATTCGTCGGTCTCACGCTTCTAAAACCGAGACCCGATTAATTGACAAAATTTATGGCTTATTCTGCAATATCTTTCCGCGGTATATATAGCACCGATATTGGATTAACATAAACAAGAAGCGCACACGGAAAAAAATATATTTAGAGGCACCGCTGCCGATTCAAAAGGTCTCGAAGCGCTTAACCCGCGATCGCACAAGCCGCGCTTGCAACTCAAACTCGAATGAGGCGCCCAAGAGCAGAACAAGCCGGGCTAACAACGACGGCTCAAACTCAAACCTCGTTCGACACCCACACATCCATACAGGAATTCGAGCATAGACTTTGACTGCACTGTGAGAAACTGGAACAAAGTTTATAACTATCAAAAATGAACTGTTTTAACATTTAAATTTATTAGTTTAACAACACAGAACTGATTTAATTTGGCAGTTTTTGATAATGGTTTGTTTGTATCAATGGATCGTAGAAATAAATATTGAAAAAAATATAAACATAGAGGGGGGCTAGTGCAGCTCCTTAAACGAAATCGTCCTCATTACCTTTCCATTCATATTAAATTCCCTGAATACAAGGCGTTTGTAGTTCTTCTCCAAAAGCTTCAAGGCCTGGTTCCACAATGGCAGATACTTGGAGCGATTCTCGAACGGCACCAGTTTCTCCTGCAGATGATCTATCAAAAAAATACTTTCATTGTTGTGCCATTTCCGTTGAAGGAGTTCGTTGATAATGGCGTTTTTAAAATCGTAAATCACTGACTGGGCTTCCTGCCGCCGTGCCTTGTAATAAAGCAGAATCGGTACAATCGGGACAAGAGCCCAAAGTATCCACGAGATATCAAATTCACGAAATAAATTGCAGAATCGTAAGAAGTTATCAGAAACTAAGCACTGGAAGGGCAGTCGCGGTTCTGTTATCTCAAAGTGGGGCTCCTTCAAGATGGGGGAATCCATGATTGCCATGCCCCACTGCGGGTTCTGTGAGATCAGGTGGGGCAAGAATGTGACGGCCAGGGTATGTTGGGTGTCAGGCAGTCCCTCGGCAAACTCACTGAACGGTAACGTAAGTGGCAGCCTTGAGTCCTGGCAGTAATGCAACCTGGCTCTTCCGTTCAGCTGACTGAACAGTTTCCTGACCATTTGGTGAGTGGGTTCCAGCCAGTTGCTCTGTATGCAGTTGTTGCGCAAATTGCATTTACACAAAGTATACTTTGTGTTCAGGATATTGAACATATTCTCCATTTGAAAGATATAGCGCTTTCTCAGATACACAGCCCCAATCACGACCAGAAAGATTATCAAAAGTTTAGTTAACCGCTGTGGAACTCTCGACTCTCGATTGTATGAATCTTTTGCCACTGGATATATAGGATATTGATTGATTTTACTGAAACGGGGTCTTACCAAGGCTTTCTTAGAAGGCATCTTAGGAGGCGAGCCAGTGCTCTGATGGGAAATTAATTGGCGTGGGGGAAAGATGGTAATCGGATCCAAAAGATATGAAGAACTGTCGTAGTCGGTGGTCTGCCTCCCAGTTGTCGCAGCTATTTCTTTATTGGCAGATGTAGTACTGCGATCGAAATCAGGATACCTGAAATCATTTTGTTGGACTTTTGGAATCTGTTGAGACCTGTAGTACATCTTCATTCGCTCCATAAAAAGCGCTCGTCTTTTCTTGGAGTCTAGGTTGTTGGTCAAATCACTCAGAATCTTCTTTTTTTGAGGATCCTTATGGCCCAGACGGCTCAGGTTCCCAGACATATTTTATTTTTCTAGTTTTTTTTTAATATTTTCTTATAGTTATTGAATATTATACAGAAAAATACTGAATGGAATGAGTCGAATATAAACAGAACATATGACACAATGACCTAGACTACTCGGATAAAACCAAGAAGTGTAAAATTAAGATTTCATTCATTGGGATTTCTCTCAGTGTAAGTGTTAGTTGCGCGCGCTTCGACTTCAAACAGATTCCGGTTCTTGCACTGATTCAGAAAAGGTATTCCGAAGACGAACAGGGAAAATCAATTTCTTTGTTGTTGCTGAGTTGAGCATTTGTTTTGGTTACCTTTCCTACCTGGATAGCAGCCACAGCCACAGCCTTGTTGTTGTTGTTTCTCACAACCTGCATGGAAGGTAGAAACCCACTTCTAGAGTGTGTGTACGTGAACGGGCTGGTTGGGTAATCGGTAGAAGCAATTTAAATGAGATCCCAGCTGAAAGGCGTACAGTGGGGCCTGGCTATGCTCCAAGCAGGTGTGGGTACGTCTTGCTGTAGGGCCAACTCCCAGCCCATATCCATATGGCTATAGTTTGCCAATCCGGTTTTCATTCTTGAAAAATAATATGCAGCTCAGCAGGCGTCCTCGGCAGGTAGAAGAGGATTTAAAGATCCAAATTCAGAGGAATATTATATTCTATTTCCACCCTCGAAAGGTACACAAGTGTAAAGTTTACGGATATTCTCTTGATCGATGTATGTTCTTGTTCTATGTACATACATATGTATGGAAAATAAATTGCAATATCTTGGTTGGATTCTTTCATTACCCCTATCTTATCTAGAAATAAATCATAAAATGGCAAAAGAAACACTCTAGTTCCCAGTTTTTCTTTTTTTGTTTTAAAAGCAAACTGATTATAATTAGTCCGTTGTGGTGTCACCTGTCCCTGCAACCTGATACCCCCCGGTCTAGTCTGGGCAACGCACCTTAAAATGGTAAAACCGTTCAAATAGAAGCCACACACCCACCCAGTTATTAATCAATCGATTACTTTGGTTGTATTTAATACTGATACGGACATTTCCGGTCTCTGATAGCGTCACTGATATTAAACAATACCCCACCATGAGTGAGATTGCACGAAGCAGTTCTTTAAGAAGGCGTATGGATTTGAAGTAATACCTAGATGCGATTGGAATGGGACCGAGAGATTGAATGCACCAGCATAGCGAAGCCGCTAATGAAGTAAATTGCCATTGGGAGGAAGGACAGCACTTGGTCGTCCTCCACTGAGTGCATCTTCGTCTGATTGATGACCCAGCCCAAGCTACGATCCACGGCGCGCCTCCATTTGCGGTAGCGAACCTTGCGCTCCGCCTCCTTTGTGGTGGCCTGGAAAGTGTCATACTGCACTTGAACGTAATACTTCTCCGGATCAAACCGGCACAGGTTCAATCCGTCCGCATTGGCGGCGCACATGGCCGCTCCCAAAGCCGTCAAGTCCTTAGATTGCGACCGGAATACGGGCATTCCAATCGTGTCAGCCTGGATCTGCATAAGAAGATTATTCGCAGAGAGCTTTCCGTCGGCGTGCAGTTTTCTGATCTCGTAACCAGACTCCTGGCGCATGCACTCCAGGATGTCGCGGGTCTGGAAGCAGATGCTCTCTAGTGCCGCTCTAACTATGTGATTCTTCCGCGTGAACTGGGTCAGACCGATTATGATGCCACGGGCGTTTGGCTGCCAGTAGGGGGCGTATAAGCCCGTAAAGGCTGGCACAAAGTACAAATCTCCCGAAGTGGGAACCGCCAACGCAACTTCTTCTGCATCTTTGAGGTCAGGCAGGATACGCATTTTGGAGTGAAGCCACGAGAGTGCGTGTCCAGCTACCAGGACAGCTCCCTCTATGGCATAAATCGTGGGCGCCTTTGGACCTAGCTTGTAGGCCACTGTTGTGAGGAGACCGTGACTCGAAAATACAGGCTTTTTGCCCGTATTGCACAACAGAAAACATCCGGAGCGGTAAGTATTCTTGGTCTGACCCGGCTTCACACACATCTGTCCTAAGAGAGAGGCTTGCTGGTTGCCGATAATCCCGCTAAGCGTCATCCCGCGGAGTGGACTCCGCTCCGAGGTGATCTTGCCGAAGACTTCCGAGCAGCTGTGGATGCTGGGCAACATCTCTTCGGGAATGCCAAAAGTTTCCAGCAGCACGGGGTCCCAGCTCTGCGTCTCCAGGTTCATGAGGAGTGTGCGGGAGGCATTTGTCACATCCGTGATGTGAATCGCCCCTGAGAAAGCAGTAGCGCAGTTAAGGAGCTCAAAAGCTTTTGTATTAGATTCACTAACCATTCGTCAGATTCCAGACGATCCAGCTGTCTACTGTTCCCGCTTTGCAGCGTCCTTCTTCGATGGCCAGGCGCACTTCGGGAACGTTGTCCTTCAGCCACACAATCTTCAGGGCGGAGAAGTACGTGGAAATGGGCAGACCGGTGCTGCTTCGGAAGTGATTTGGGTCCTGCACCTTGGCCAAGATCTGCTCCACAGTGGTGCTAGTGCGAATGTCCTTCCACAGGAGAGCATTGTATAGAGGCTTGCCGGTTACAGCGTCCCAGACAATAGTGGTCTCGCGCTGATTGGTGATGCCCACCGTGGCAATGTCGCCAGCGGAAAACCCTTGCTCGGGCAGCATCTTGATGGCCTCCTCAGCGCACTTGTTGATAGAGGACATAATCCCACGTGGATCCTGCTCGTACCAGCCATCCTTTGGTGAGATTAAAAACAGCTCCACTCGATGGGCAGCGATCTCCTTGAAGTCCGGAGTAGTATAAATCGAAAAGCTAATGGTCTTGGTTCCCTCGTCGATCACGCCGACCAGGCCAGTCATTCTCCCTCAATGAAAGGAGGCCGAGTAGGTTATAATTCTGATTTAATCTGAATCATTTGGAAAATCATTCAAATCGAAATTGAATGATTTTTCAATCGATTACTGTGGTCACATCTAACTGCTATTCCCATTTCCGGCCCCTGATAGCACCGCTGATATTAAATCATACCCCACCTTGAGTGAGATTGCTCGTAGCAGTTCTGTAAGAACGGGTATGAATACTTGGAAGTAACACCACCTTCCTATTAATATTAGATACTACCCTTTAGATAGTATAGAACATTCTGCGATTGGCAAATATTAAACTTAAATTCCTGGTAATTCGCAATAAGACGCAATGCCTCGATTCGTATTATTTCTGGTTTATTGTTTTTAGGGGCGTAATCGCTACACATACACATAGAGTACAAGTACGGGGGCCTACTTAAATTAGAAATGTTGTTTGCACTTTGGCTATATACAATTCGCTGATATGGCCGTGCGTAGATCGTTTGGTCATGGAACCTATCGTCAATGGACCTACGGCTAAGAAGTAAGGAAATATGCAACGAAGAACGATAAGATAGATTAATTTATAGGAGGAGCTCTCCGCTCATTGGGTTAAAATATTTACAGGGCTTAAAGCACGTCCAACCATCCCAAGTAGTCCTCGTGGGACTTTTGCCAGGGCAAATCCGGAAATAACAAAACAAAACTACTATCACAACCGAGAAACGATGCGGGGGGATCCTCCGAACCAGTCTACTGTCCGGCGGCCGAGAGAGAATGCACCAGCATGGCGAAGCTGCTAATGAGGAAGATGCTTGCTGGGAGGGAGGAGAGCATCCTGTAGTTCTCCTCCGTGTGCTCCTTCGTCTTCTTCTGCTTGATGACCCATCCTAAGCTGCGTTCCACGGCCCTCTTCCACTTGCCGTAGCGCTCCTTTCGCTCCACCTCAGTGGTGGTGGCCAGAAAAGTGTCGTAGTGCACGTTCTCGTAATATCGCTTCTCCGGCTCAAACTGGCACAGATTCACGCCGTCCGCCTGTGCCGCGCACATGGCGGCTCCGAAAGCCGTAGAGTCCATCAGCTGGGAGCGGAATACGGGCAATCCAATGGTGTCGGCCTGGAGCTGCATGAGAAGATTGTTTGTCGTCAGCTTTCCATCGGCGTGGAGTTTGTTGATCTCGTAGCCACACTCCTGGTGCATGCACTCCAGGATGTCGCGGGTCTGGAAGCAGATGCTCTCTAGTGCCGCTCTTACGATGTGATTCTTTCGCGTGAACTGGGTCAGACCGATTATGATGCCACGGGCGTTCTGCTTCCAATATGGTGCATACAAACCCGTAAAGGCTGGCACGAAGTACACATCTCCCGATGTGGGCACCACCTCTGCGTATTTTTCGGCGTCCTTGGAGTCGGGCAGGATGCGCACTTTGGTCTGAAGCCATGAGAGCGCGTGTCCGGCTACCGAAACAGCTCCTTCAATGGCATAAATCGTGGGCGCTTGGGGGCCTAGCTTGTAGGCCACTGTTGTGAGGAGACCGTGACGGGAAAATACGGGCTTATCACCCGTATTGCACAACAGAAAACATCCAGAGCGGTAAGTATTCTTGGTCTGACCCGGCTTCACGCACATCTGCCCCAGGAGAGAGGCCTGCTGGTTGCCCATAATTCCACTGAGTGTCATCCCACGGAGAGGACTCCGCTCTGAAGTGATCTTGCCGAAGACTTCCGAGCAGCTGTGGATGCTGGGAAGCATCTCCTCTCGGATTCCAAAAGTCTTCAGCAGCACGGGATCCCAGCTCTGTGTCTCCAGGTTCATTAGGAGAGTGCGGGAGGCGTTCGTCACGTCCGTGATGTGAAGAGCCCCTAAAGAAAGCAATAGCTCAGTTAAAAAGTTCCAAAGCCTTAGAACTATATTTACCAACCATTTGTCAGATTCCAGACGATCCAGCTATCCACGGTTCCGGCCTTGCAGCGTCTCTCTCGGATGGCCTGACGAACTTCGGGAACGTTGTCCCTCAGCCATCGAATCTTTAGAGCGGAGAAGTACGTGGAAATAGGCAGACCCGTGCTGCTTCGGAAGTGATTTGGGTCCTGCACCTTGGCCAAGATCTGCTCCACTGTTGTGCTGGTGCGAATGTCCTTCCACAGGAGAGCATTGTATAGAGGCTTGCCGGTCACTGCGTCCCAGACAATCGTGGTCTCTCGCTGATTGGTGATGCCCACCGTGGCAATGTCGCCAGCGGAGAATCCTTGCTCGGGCAGCTGCTTAATGGCCTCCTCGGCGCACTTGTTGATCGAGGCCATCATCTCAAGTGGGTCCTGTTCGTACCAGCCATCCTGCGGTGTGATTACACTTAGCTCAACCCGGTGGGCGGCGATCTCTTTGAAGTCAGGAGTAGTATAAATCGAGAAGCCAATAGTTTTGGTTCCCTCGTCGATCACACCGACCAGGCCAGAGTGCTGGATTAGGGATTGCTTGCGCAACTCCTTGCTGCGGAACGGGACATCCGCGCTGGAGTGGGGTAAGTTCTTGCCCTCGGTCATTCTGCCTGAAAAACCGGAGATCGAGAAGGTCAGATTTTTGATAATCACTTTTATTTTAATTTGCATGATTTAATAACCTAATGGAATTAGTAATTAGTCCTTATTGGCCTAACCAATGTTTGAAGTATGAGTCCAAAAATCATTCTGTGATAACAGTTTCTGCGATAAAGTTGAAAGACTGTGAAAAACAACTTCATATGTATGTTTCAACAACCAAGTTCTATATTTGAGTTCGCACTTCCCCCAGGGTACATTGTTTTGTTTGCGATACTATCTCGATTGGGAGGTACATAGTATGTACAATAACTACATATATGTATAAATACTGGTACACTTGTTCGGCACTTGTTTGACTTTGAACCCGCACGGCTTGTTGGGGGGCTTGATTGCGGCGATTCCGTCGGTCGAGCCCTCTTCCCACTGACACAAATACTCCATACAAAAGAAATACCACACAGAAGTGGAGCACAATCGCTGGGATTGACGTCTCAACGGAGCAGCGGATCAAATTCCTGTACATAAATTATGGTAGATTGTTGTGATTGCGGGCCCTGCGACAAGGTCAAGTGCTAGGCTTAGAGATAAGCCCCTAATGATTGAGTGTACTATATAGTATGGTTATAGATTTTATTGTTAGGGCACTGAAACGATTGATTTAATAATCCCGAAACTTTCCACAGGGTCTTCGCGTTGGGATTCATCTGGCAATTAAAATCGAAGTACAATTTCGAAAGTTATTAAACAAGGTTTATGTGCCCAAGGTTTATGGCCATGTACTTTTATTAAGCACTGTTTCCTGATAACCGAGTATCGATTCACAACCCATAAACGTTATGTTCAGATTAGATTTGGGGGCACTCTCAATTGGACTGAGCCGATCGGGCAATACTATATATGCATGGATACACTCGAATGAAACCGAATATCCAAAAAGGCCTATCAAACAATTAAAGTAAATAATTTACGATAACTACGATAATTTACGATAACCCCGATGAATGAACTCTCAGTGCATTGATAAACTGTTTACACTCGTTTGTCCACTCACTTTTCAGATATTCGATTGTTGTTTATGCCGGCTGATAACACTTGTTTCAATATTTTTATATGGTAAGTAGAGAGAAAGGTCGATCAGGGTGGAGAGAACTGTAGCCAGCACGCGAGGGATCGAGAGAAAGGTGCGGAGAAAGAGAGAGCCCGTCGAGTAAAAACACAACCGTTCGCGGCCAGCGCCAAAATGTATCTGAAAGTCGAAGCCAATCCAACGGAACGCTATCAGCTTGAAGGCGCGGCAGCGCACTCGGAATCGAGCTTTCGTTGTGGGTGTGTAGGTTTTCGTATCGAAATTGAATTTACTACCTACTACTGACTATACCCATCGAACAGACCAATAAACCCGGCAGTAGCAACAGCTGATAAGACAAGCCGGCCAAGAGCGTCTATGTCTGATGTCTGGGGCACAGTGGGTGGGTGGTTGGGTGGTTGGGTTGCACGGTGGCTTCTCTAGACGTTTCTCAGTGCAATAAACTGCGAACTGGTTGCGACAGACGCCGGCAGCCTTGGCATTTAAAAACACGCATTTGCATATCTCTCAGACCAAGAGAGACATGAACATTGGGTCAATTTTATTAAATACGGGGGGATTTTTTATATTTTTTATAACAAAATTATACATTTTTTGTCTACTCATAAAAAAAGAAAAATCTGATGTAATCAAACAACCAAAGATGTGGGTATAAAATAAATCTAAAATTCGGACAAAACCGACCAAACATATTTTGGATACTTGCCATTTTTTGTCACTATCAACAATTTATTTTTAATAGTGGAAAAGTACCAGTTTTCAAGATCCGACATATTCGAAAAGTCTGAACCGAACAAAGGGAGATAATGGAAATAAAGTACTAGACCCTGTAGATCACAAGAGAAGCACGTGAATTACTAGGCGAATGATTTCAGATTAAACAAATATTATAGGAAACGTGCTAGGAAACCATTGTTAGTAGTAGTTAACTAAGATTTCAATACATGTTTATGACTTCCAGTTAGGAATGTAAGTAGGTATTGCTCAGAAATCTATGATCTACGATTACTTACCCATGAAATAGTGTCTCATTTTAAGTCCGGAAATTATTCCATCGGATCCCAGGCCAACCCGCACATAAATTCTTCAGGTTTTTCAAAGACAATCACGTGTGGGCGTCCATTCAGTTCATACTTATAGGCCGGAGCTAAAATTAGATGAGAAAATATTAAAAATATTCCATTGAGGGGCAAGCACATAAAGCAGACGTTATTGTGACATCTTCAAGAGCGAGGCGCAGCATGACAAAAAAAAAAAGCTGAGAAATAAACGAAAATGCAGATTTTGGTATTGAAATGTTTGCATCCATTAACTAAAAAGGGGGAGTGTGTGCGTTATATAAACACAACAGTAGGGGCAGATAGAGCCAAGTTAATGAAGTCAATTTGACCGGCTCAAACGAGTTCATTAAATCGGGCTGTCAGTGTGAAAATATGTATATGTGCAAATATAAACACTGTCGCAGCGGTTTTGGCCCACAAACGAGGAAAGCAATTTAGCCCGACCGATGGCCTTTAGTTGTACCCTCGCAATATATGACGGGTATATCGAATATAAGGCGTAACTTTAAGGACATCAACATCAACACAATGTCTTGTTTATTGAACAAAACGAATATCAAGCTTTTATTGTGGCTCATATGATGGCAAATTATTTTTAGGAAACGTATATGTTAGTGTACGTCTTGACTCTCTGATGGCGAAACCCATTTAAGCCATTATAAAATATCATATTTTATTTGCTGCAATTTGAATTTCAATAACAGACCGATTGAGAAATGACTATTGCTTATAGCAGAAAGTGCCACAAACGATTACATCAGGAGGGTTTATTCAGTCCAATGCATGCAATCATAATTACACATACCACCTGTGAACCTCTCCATAAATACCTAATTTATCGTAGCCCTATCGTAAGACAATGTGTCATGATTCTGATAATCTTTAGACTGGCTGATAAGCGTACTTGTGGGGTGATTACAGCTTATATAATATTTTATTTCGATGAGCTTGCCGTCTAGTGCAGTGGGGCACTAGGAGAGGGCAGATCTAGTGAACTCCAGATTAATTATTGGCGGATTAGCCAGCTTTGGGGCGCCAGCGATCAACTGTCCCCATGTAAGCGGACACACCTATTTGTTTTCCTACTCGCCCTGTTGATATTTGCATTTCTGTTTAGCTCTGTTCGGTAATAGCCGCGTTAAATGCAATTGCCAGATGCAATATTGCGAGAGGCAGTGCTATTTTTGCTTCCGTATTCTCCGTTCGAAGGCCTCTCATCCATCGCATTATTTGGATGACCTAAGGGAGAGAAATGGAGCTTGGAAGGTCGTTGCTCACGTGGGTTTTGGCACCTGACCACAGAAAATCAATAGCCAGGCTAGACGGCTGTTGCATACGTCATGACGTCGGCCAAGCCCCTCAAAAGCAGCATTCCAATTGGCCAAAGCCCGTGCCGTCACACGGCCGATGGGGGGAGAACAACAACGAAATTACGCTAGCCCAATGGTCATAATGGACCCATTCATTAGCACATATGTATATGTAGCTATATGTATAATTACATATAAATACATCTAAAACAACTCAAGTTATTAAAGTTATTAATAATAAAGACCAAAAAAGCTATTTGAAACACGTGATAGCCGGTGAAGAATAATTATGGGTTTAACTAACCAACATTTTCACCGCCCCACTGGGTTTACAGTTGAGCAGGTTAAGGCCACCGCTACTAGATATTCTCCGGCATATTTGAGCACATTATTAACAGGATTAGCACCATTTTTATCGCGTTTATGGTTAATTATTATCAGCTCTGTGGCAGACGAGCCTGCCCGACAGGGGAGTTTTTTTATTGTGACTATTGCTATTTTGGTCCCACTGTACGAGCTTAAAGTATAAGTGTGCCCGTACGATATTTTTGGTCCCACTGTTGAATAACGCAAGTCTTTTTAGCTTTTTTAATAGCATCTGTTTTCCAATTCTTTTTTGCCAGTTCGCTCGGTTGGGAAAAATTACAAAAATTGCCTTTTTTGTAAAATTTATGTACAAATGTAAGGTTAGAGAAGAACTGAAGGTATTTTCTTGAATCACCCTGTGTTAAACGAATTTCTTAATACTAAAAAATACCAACAAATATCACTGGCCAGAGCATTGCCATATCTTTGTAATAACTTAATTCAAACTGAATTTTAAATCTAAGATCATTTAAAGTATGATAAACATTTAACTTTTTATTCTTAGTAGAATAAATAGCATAGTCCTTTTTTCGCTCAGTTTCCCTGGCTTTAGCAGTAATTAGTAATTTGCGGAAAAGTAATTTGCCTAAAAAAGTGTATGGAACTAGCTAATTTATTTTTTTTTCTGCTGGCGATTAGTCAAGCAAATTTGTTTTAGTCCATGCCTTAATTTCACCATTAATTTTGTTTTTTATTTATCAGTAGCAAATACCGATGGGGTGGTAAAGTCTCACAAACAAAAGCATAGATAAGAAAAGCGATCAATTGCACAGTGAAAAATGAACAAAACTAAAGCCCAAAAACATTTTTTAACTGTGACATCAGCTTTTCAATATCTCCAAGGATATTCTTGACAGGCACCTATACTATCTTTGAACAAATAAGTCCCGCAGCGAAATACTTCAATTTCAGTTACGATCGACGACATACACTTTTGAATTTAACGAGATTGTGCCCCTTTTTTTGGTGACTATGTATTTGGCTATCTCACCGGTTCCGATAAGTAGCGACTATTATCAGGGGAAGATTAGGGGTTAGTTTATCAACCCATATGGGAATTGGCGATCCACTTGCGGCCAGTCCAGTCGCTATGGAAAGTCGGGAGCAAGAGGACTCTGTCGAGATCTTGGACTTCGTTCCAATCACAGGCAACCTTACCAAGGATGGTGATGGCTTGGTGCAGGAGCCCATATTCGACTGGGACTGGATTGAGATCGTCTTCCAATGCTGGGAGTCGGTACGCCTGATTCTGGCCACCTTTTGGTGCATTTTGCTGGCTAGAGTCGTGACCCACAAACTTGGTCTTTACGGAAGACCCAATCTCAGTTATGTCGTGGAGTTCCTGATTATCATCCTGCCCTGCATCCTGCTGGTTACTGTGGCCGTGGATTACAGCAATTTTATTGTGTTTATCATGCTGGGACTGACATGGAGATTTCTGAGAAGCACTCGGGCCCTGGAGCAAGTCCGTTCCCGAGTCCAATTTGACTTGGGCGGCAATCGCCCCATGACCTTCTCCATTCTCCGAGCACTGACTCACCTAATCACGGCGGTGTGCATCCTGGCTATCGATTTTAGCAGCTTCTACAGACCCCACCGCAAAAGCCGCCAGTTCGGAGCAAAGCTGATGGACACTGGAATCGGATTGTTTGTCTTCACCATGGCCATGGTTTCCCGCAGGACAAGGCATCTCTCAGATCTGCGCCGGAGTGTGATTTACCAGGCCCTTCCCCTCATTTTGCTGGGACTGGGTCGGACGATAGCCATCCTAATGCTTGGCTATGGCCAGGATGAGCACGAGTATGGTCTGCACCTGAATGCTTTCTTTACATTGGGTCTTACCAAGTTGTTGGGTTCATTGGTAAGTTTTTTGGCTCGAAGGGATTTGCATTTGCTGCCTTTAGGACTGGGTGAGTATGTTTTACAAAATTATCGGGTTCGAAAATAAAATCAATTCTCTTCTAGGTCTTCTGGTGACTCATCAACTGGGCCTTAGTGTTCTCGGACTATCGGACTATGTGATGGATGAGGAGGTGGACCGATCCGGACTGTTCAATGCTAATCGTGAGGGTCTGGTCTCCTTGCCTGGATTCGTGGCTCTTTATCTGTTGTCCATCTACCTCAATCGCTGGTTGGTCAACATAAGCTTGCTAAGCTATATAGAGATGGTCAAGAAGCTCTGGCGACTGCTGTATATGGTCCTGATCCTGTGGACCCTCTTCGCTATCAGTGCCTATGGCGTAGGTATCTCCAGAGTGACCTGCAACTTTGGCTACGTTGTTTGGATGGAGGCTATAGGAGCCAGCACCTTACTAGCCAGTTTTTGGGCCGTTGATTTTATAATCAACAGCAAAATGCCCTGGGATCCCGTGGGAGGAGCAGTGCAGGATCAGGAAAAGGGCCTGCTTACAGGCGAATCGAGTTCGAGGGCAAAACATAAAGCCATCGGACCTTTCGCCATTGCCCAGGCTCTGAACCAAAACGGCCTGACCTTCTTTTTGGTGGCCAATGTCCTGACAGGCATGGTGAATATTTTCCTAAAGCCCGAAGATCGGTCTGACCTGGAGTCCATATTCATCCTGCTCGTCTATATGTTTGTGGCAACCAAGTTGGCACACGAACTGCTAAAGAGGGGAATACGCATAGCCTAAGATTTAAGATGTGATTCGAGCTGTGATTTTTATGAATTTAGTGAAAATAGACGTAACATATTTTTACCAATGTTTTTTTTAGAAAGTTTGGTTTTATCCATATCAGCAGAAACTTATATTTTCGGCATTTTTAACTTTATTTATCATTAAAGTCCATTGTTGTTCTCTTACACCAGTGGCACCCGCTTATCTATTGGTCGAGATAATGAAGTATTCCCAACAATGGTAAGCTCAACTGCATTGCCCAAAGAAATACAAATTCCTAATGAAAGGAATTATGATTGACCCATTTACACTTAAACTGTGTTTTATTGTCGGCTTTAAATATTCCGCGCTCGATAACACCTCACCTGTTCGATAGCAGGATCATCTATCGAGCAACAGGTGTAAGCCTAAAACTGGTTTTGGCTTAAAGGCCAAACAACCGGCCCTTTGGGGGTGCGTTGCCAGGGAAACCATTTATTTTTCTGGCCACAACAGACGGAAAAATAAACTGAGTTGGATCCCAAGTGCAACTTCGGACCAAATATGTTTGTTTATCTGAGCAAAAAGGTAAAATTTCCTGAAACTTCAAGTGAATCTATCCATTACTCCAAATCTCACACCCATAGATAGCCATTCCAAACAATGTTAAGCTTAATTGCATTGCGTGGAACAAGGAGGAGGGCTACATTGCAGTGGCCGGCACGGATGGATTGCTCAAAGTCCTGAAGCTGGATCAAGGTAAGTGTTGGAAGGACATACCCTACCAATAAAGAATATAAAACACAAATCCTTCAGCCGCAGGCAATGGGCAGAACAAAGGAGCACTAGCAGCCGTATCCAATCTATCGATGAACCAGACTCTAGATGGGCACAAAGAGTCGGTAAGGGTGGTTACCTGGAACGACGCTCAGCAGAAGCTGACCTCCTCCGACACGGATGGCGTGATCATGGTCTGGATGCTCTACAAGGGCTCCTGGTACGAGGAAATGACGAACGACCGCAAGAAATCGACGGTGGCCAGCATGAGCTGGACCTCGGATGGCTCCAGAATCTGCATTGTGTACGAGGATGGGGCAATTATCGTGGGCTCAGTAGATGGCAACCGCATCTTTGGAAAGGAGCTCAAGGGCACTCATCTGACGGGGGTGCAGTGGAGCCCGGACAACCGCCTCATCCTGTTTGCATTGGCCAATGGCGAGTGCCACTTGTATGACAATCAGGGAAACTTTGCGGTGGGTATGTGGGTATTTGCTGGCTGATCCTTTTCCTCATCTTTTTTTTTACCCACACTACTAGATGAAGCTGAATATTCAGTGTGTAAACCTGAGTACCTCGCGAGGTCATCGTATTGCTAGTATTTGTTGGTTTAGTGGAAGAGTACCCCAGAGCCGAAAACGTCCTGTATTGGCTATTTGCTACGAGAACGGCCGGGTACAGATTATGCGGAATGAGAACGATGATGGTAAGCAGTTGGATCATTAAGTGTATTAGGATAGATTTTAGGATGTATTCCATTTACTAGCACCGGCCATTTTTGACACTGGAATGCGGAATGTGGACGCCAAATGGAACCACGACGGCACAGTGCTGGCCATTTGCGGTACCCTCCTAGATGCCGTGACTCCTCCTTCACAGCGGGAGTCAAACCAGGTGTGTTTCTACTCGCAGTTGGGTAGTCTCTTCCGCACCTTGAAAGTTCCAGGCACCGACATCACCTCCCTAAGCTGGGAGGGAAAATCCTTGCGCATCGCCATGGCGGTGGACTCCTTCATCTACTTTGCCAATATTCGGCCGGACTATATATGGTGTTACTTTGAGAAAACAGTTGTTTTTTTAAACAGCGGCAGTAGCGGAGTTAGGGACTCACCGATGAGTGTCATCACGTTCTGGAACACGGTCTCAAATCAAAGCTTTCTCAAGGAAGTTGAGCCCACTCTGTGCCTGGCGGCCAGTACCGAGCACTGCGTTCTTGGGGTGGAGTGCGTTAGCAGCAATATCAAGGAGATCGCCTTGAACACCCTGGAGAATCGGAGCAATCCTCCGAATGACAGGGTCTACCAGCTGCTGCTTTGCAACTCCATTGGTACTACTGTAGATTGTGAGTTTCTCCTTTTTATATCAAAATGCATCCATTGACTGTTTTAAAAAAATTTTCAATTTTTACCCCAGCCAAGTACACTGATATACGACCCAACTTTGTCGGGATTAACTCTAGCTATGTGGCCATAGCCTCCCAGGAAGAGATTCTCATATGGCACTATCACACACCGAAGGTTGGTACACCTATACTAGCTTTATCATATCCTGACTAAAGGAGAGTCCCTCTTCAGAGTGCCTCCACCCTCCATAATGTGAAGGCTCGCAAGGAGAAGCGGTTTCACATAGATGACACTCCCACGGGCGTGGAAATGGCAAAGGATCTTATGTTGAGCAGCAGCAGTGGGGACGGACACTCTACACAACGTGGAGTAAGTGATCCCATCTGTGCCCTGGCTCTTTCCGAGAAGCTGCTTCTGGTGGCCAGGGAATCCGGGGCCATCAACGAGTACAGCATCGCCAATGTGGCGCTGAGGAATCGCCACCTCATTAACTCCAAGGTCTACAAAATGGCTATTAACTGCAATTCCACGTAAGGGGTCTCTGCAAACGCCTAGGAATCTTGAATAATTTTTTCCTATTTAGTCGTGCCGCCATTATCGACCACCTGGGGGTGATGACCCTGCTTGACCTGGATGACAACCGAGAGACCCAACTCAACTTTAGTCGGGTGGAGCGCAAGGATGTGTGGGCGGTGAGCTGGGCCAAGGACAATCCACTGCTGTTGGCCCTGATGGAGAAGACGCGCATGTACATCTTTCGGGGCAATGATCCCGAAGAGCCTGTCTCCTGCTCCGGCTACATCTGCACCTTTGAGGACCTGGAAATAACCAGCGTGCTACTAGACGACATCATCAGTGTGGGCGAACTGCAAAATTCATCACATCTTATCCAGCTCAGGGTTAAGTCACTGCGCGACACCGACAATCTCCTGGAGCACGTCGGCCTGGAAGACGCTAAGCAGTTCATAGAGGACAATCCGCATCCGCGTCTGTGGCGCCTGCTGGCAGAATCGGCCCTCAAGAAACTGGAGCTGGAGACGGCGGAGAACGCCTTTGTTAGATGTGCCCACTACCCGGGAATCAAACTGGTCAAGCGGCTGCGCACCATCCACTCCCAAGAGCTGCAGCGAGCTGAGATCTCGGCTTTTTACGGGGAGTTCGAAGAGGCAGAGAAGCTCTATCTGGATGCAGATCGCCGGGACTTGGCCATCGAGCTACGCATGACACTGTGCGATTGGTTTCGGGTAGTGCAACTATACCGCATGGGCGGCTCCGGTGTCTCAGATCAGCAGATGGAGACGGCCTGGCGTGAGATAGGTCATCACTTTGCCAATCTCCGGGCCTGGGAGAGCGCCAGGGAATACTACGAGAAGTCCCACTATATGGACGGTTTCATGGAGTCCCTTTACCACTTAGAGCAGTTCGACGAGCTGGAGAAATGCGTGGAGCGTCTCCCGGAAAAGAGTCCCCTTCTCCCCAAATTGGCCGAGATGCTGGCTTCTGTAGGTATGTGCTCCGAAGCGGTGCAGGCACACCTCCGCTTCGGGGACCAAAAAGCCGCGGTGGCCACTTGTGTAAACCTTCGCCAATGGGGCGAGGCCGTGGAGCTTGCCCGACGGTTCCAGCTACCCCAAGTCCAAACCCTGATTGCTAAGCACGCCGCTCAGCTGCTCCAAGAAGGCCGACTCAAGGAGGCCATTGAGATGCAACGCAATGCTGGCCGCCACTTGGATGCGGCACGTCTTTTGGCCCAAATGGCGGAACGGGAGCAGGAGAAGCGTGCTCCCTTGCTAAGGATCAAGAAACTGTACGTCTTGGCTGCCCTGTTGGCGGAGGAGCACCTGAAGGCTGTGGCCACCCCGGAGATTGACTACGCCAGCGGGCGAAACACGTTGTTAGACTCCATTTCTTTGGAGGATGCGGCTGCCATCGAGCGTTTGTGGCATTGCTGTGAAGCCTATCACTTCATGCTGCTGGCCCAGCGACAACTACGCTTTGGAATCATTCACAGTGCTGTGATCACGGCGGTGCGGCTGAGGGACTACGAAGACGTCCTGCCTCCAGAGCACGTTTACAGCCTTCTGGCCCTGGCTAGCTGTGCGGATCGGGCCTTTGGCACCTGCTCCCAGGCCTTCATGAAGCTGGAGCAACTGCCCCATCTGCCGGAGGAACTGGTTCAGCGATATGAAGAGTTGGCCGCCGGCATTTTTGCAAAATACGAGCCGGAAGACTCTGTAGGCGAGAAGGTGGAATGCTATTCATGCGCAGCCTCTGTTCCGGATAGGTAAGTTTGCGTTTTGTTATTGGACTATTCACGTCTGATTCACGTTGTGCCTCCATCCAGCTCTTCATCTTGTCCGGAGTGTGGGGCTCGGTTCCCAGCCTGCATCTCCTCTGGAAAACCAATTACCCAGCCTACGAATAATATATGGATCTGCACAACCTGTCACCACTGTGCCGCTCCCTCTGAGATCTCCAGGCATCGCACCTGCCCATTGTGCCACAGCCTCATTGTTTCCATGACGGTGGAGATATGAGATGTGGATTTTACTACTAAAAAATGTATACTCTTGAATTCAGAAAACTTAAGAAAGATCATAACTCAATACATCTTTCACATCAAATTAAGCAATAAAATTATTCAATAACCGGAAAATATTTTTTTATCCACATAATTTAATTTATGCACTAATTTAGTGCTAAAAAAATTGAAATAAAATTGAAAATCTAATAATGCATCAGAAAATTTAATAAGGTTGGAAAGGTGATAAACATGAAAATTCAGAAATTGCGGTTTTTTAAGGGGAACCCCTTGGAAAAATTCGAAAAATTTTAAAACCGTATTTAAGTAAGACTTTGTATGAGGGATTAAGCTACTCGGTGCTCTGATAACAGAAAGGTATATCCTTTTGTGATCGGATGAAAATTGGAGAAACCATGAGCATCGGAACGTCGATAAATATGGAAATTCAGAAATTGGGGATTTTTAAGGGGAACCCCTTGGAAAAATTCGAAAAATTTTAAAACCGTATTTAAGTAAGACTTTGTATGAGGGATTAAACTACTCGATGCTCTGATAACAGAAAGGTATATCTTTTTGTGATCGGATGAAAATTGGAGAAACCATGAGCATCGGAACGGCGATAGATATAAAAATTCAGAAATTGGGGATTTTTAAGGGGAACCCCTTGGAAAAATTCGAAAAATTTTAAAACCTTATTTAAGTAACACTTTGTATGAGGGATTAGGCTACTCGGTGCTCTGATAACAGAAAGGTACATCTATTTGTGATCGGATGAAAATTGGAGAAACCATGAGCATCGGAACGGCGATAAACATGAAAATTCAGAAATTGGGGATTTTTAAGGGGAACCCCTTGGAAAAAATCGAAAAATTTTAAAACCGTATTTAAGTAAGACTTTGTATGAGGGATTAAGCTACTCGATGCTCTGATATCCTGACAGAAAGGTATATCTTTTTGTGATCGGATAAAAATTGGAGAAACCATGAGCATCGGAACGGCGATAAATATGAAAATTCAGAAATTGGGGATTTTTAAGGGGAAAAAATCGAAAAATTTTAAAACCGTATTTAAGTAAGACTTTGTATGAGGGATTAAGCTACTCGATGCATTGATAACAGAAAGGTATATCTTTTTGTGATCGGGTGAAAATTGGAGAAACCATGAGCATCGGAAAGGCGATAAATATGAAAATTCAGAAATTGGTGTTTTTTAAGGGGAACTCATTGGAAAAATTCGAAAAATTTTAAAACCGTATTTAAGGAAGACTTAGTATGAGGGAATAAGCTACTCGATGCTCTGATAACAGAAAGGTATATCTTTTTTTGATCGGATGAAAATTGGAGAAACCATGAGCATCGGAACGGCGATAAATATGGAAATTCAGAAATTGGCCATGTTTAATAGAGATAACCTATATGAAATATATTAAAATTTAAAAGAATCTAAATAATTTTATTCCTTTGTTTTTTAATTTTTATTTCGGCATTCAATACAAACGATGTATATTTTTGGTATATCCCAAATGTTTTGGTATTTATTGGGTCGTTGTGAATGGCAACCAGGTAGAAAATTTTTAAAAATACCAAACAAAAAAAATAGGAAAGATGCTAGTATATTTCATAAAAATGAAAAATACTGTTACCCAAATGCGAGATTCGGAAAGACCACATAGCATTTAAAATACTACAAGCGGTCACCCTGGCTGCATGCAACCTACCACTGAGTTTTTGTTAAATTAACTAAATAAATCGACCCCGCACTGGACTGCGGGCGTGTGCGTACGCGGATTAAATAAATAGAAAATTGCCGTGCTGCGAATCGGTGGAACCAATTTAGCGACGGAGTACAAAATAATTGAAGTGCATTTGGGGCTCCAGAATTGCGTTGTTGCGTCTGTGTAGTTTGTTGTTGCTCTTGGGCTGGGTTCTAAATGGTGAATATTAATTGAATTTATTCTGCAATCCCGCATTATTGCAATAATTATATTTCTGCCAAGCAGCCGAAGATTGTGCCAAAATAAAGTGAATAAAAAACAGGTTTCTCTTGTTTGAGTGCGAAATTGGGGAGCATGTGTTGAGAAAGCCAAATAAAACGAAATCCCAGTGATGTTGTAAGCATTTAAAAATATAAACAAAATGCAATAAAAGATACATCCGTATAAGAAAAGGTGTCACTCGGAAAAGTAAAACATAACAACGTTAAATTTGAGTTCATTCTGACCCATTGTTTTGAGTTGGAACAAAACCAGTTTATGGAATTTACTGCTGGAAAACTAGGTAAGTTGTGAGCCCCTAATGGTGACTTAATGAGTACTTAGCACTCGTGTCTCTCGATTCAAATATCTGCCAACTTGAAAAGCGATTCGCTATCTTTCACTTGCGAAAGTTACAGTTTGTAACTCCCTTTGTTCCCCTCCATCGGCCACCTCAATTAGCGTTACTGGGATCTCTCACACCAAGAACAGTAAAGTTAAACCTGTTCTCGTCTTTCTTTTCTGTTCGTCTCGGATCACCAACAAATTGACGAAATTCTCTTTCACTTGGGAATAAAAATATACCCCTGGCACCCGCATCGTCAGCATTTATTCTCATCATCAGACACGACGGAAGCTTCCAGCTGCTTCGTATCTACACAGCAAAAAATTCTGTAATAGTTCTGTATCAGTAATGGTATGGAATTTATTTTTAGGATTAAAGGATCTAGTAAACTGAAACATATGTACATATAGTTTGAATGATACATATATTTGATATGTATGTAAAATGTGTTTAGAGTTTGTGTCCTATCGCATCAGCAGCAAAAGAAAGATACAGAACACTTGCAGACGGTATGTGTGTATCTAACAGAACGCCGGTCAAACAATATCTCGAAGGTTTAAAGATCCATAATAAATCTGTGCCTGGTATCAGCAAATTTTGACGTTGCTTACAATTTGTATATGAGTTGAAAAATTCTGATAATAATTGTTTGAAATATGGGGATTCCCAATAAAACTTATACACTTTTCATTCAAAAATGATAAGGAAATATATATTTTTTTCTTTTTATGAAAACTAAAACTATATATTCTATATATATATAGAAACTATACTATATATTAAAGTTTGACATTGGAGACCTAGTGAGTATCACACTCTAAATACGTGATTCGTTGATTAATGATGACGTTCGTGTTTAGGACTTGACAGTGGCTTTAGGAAAGTGCAATAATCTGCAGTAAATACCAAAGGCATTGCACAAAATTAAAAATGTGTTGAAACTTTAATGATAACCACACACCTTTGGATTCACATGAGTAAGAACTCAACTTTTGTTGTCTTAATAATTACTCAGCTTTAATAGTGGCTCGGGGAGGAGTGACTGCCCGAGAATATGAAGTACACATAAGCCTAGCAGGACTTCCGTCCTAGACTAAGTTTCCATTACGTGACAGACATTGTCTGCTGACAGCTTCATTAGGATTCCGGGGGTTTTTCTTTCCCTCGTTCTTTAGAAATTTCTCTATTTTGTTGCGGGTGCATTATCCAACATTGCTTTGCTTTCTACTTATTGTTGCAAATGCCGCGATTATGCCAAATTCTTGGTCGTCTGAGAGACAAGGTGTGGGTTGAGTCCCCCAGAAATTATTTCGCTAAAAAGTGCTATGTTCTCTTAATTTTTCTGGGAAGCTTCCAGAGCTTCAAAGCAAAATGGGTTTAGAAATCGGAGCTTCATCTGCTAATTGGCCAATACAAATAGGGGTATAAATGCGCTTATACCAGTAGAGTGAAGTGAAAACACCTTTACAGCCGGAATGCGAGCTGACGTGGCTTCAAATTTATTCGTTAATTTATATTTGTCACATGTACATATATACATACATATGCGCTCGTCCCATTTGGCTTTTAAATAAAATAATCATTTTAATAATGTACCAAGTTATCTGTGCTTTATGTTTCCATTAGGCTGTTCACTGGAAGTTTTAATTCGTTCCAAGACCCAAAGTCAAAGTCACAGTCAAAGCTACACATACCCCTTGAGAATTTTAAGAATCACTTAATTCCCAAGCAAAATTTGTCCAAAGTAATTTTTTCGATTATATAGGCACTCGTGTTTCACGGTCAGAAAATTTTGTTTCCATACCAAAAACATTTGTTTTCGTTTTAATTGTTTATTGTTTTTGCGAAAATGTTTATTCTATAATATTTTATCAGCGGTTCTGGTGTTAAACTGCCAACTGGATGTGAAACATTTTCTCTTTGTTATATGAGAGGGGTTGTAAATTAGACTTTGATTTCGCTATCTATAGTTGGAGCCAAGCTTCGTCTTTATCTACATATAAGGAATGACTATAATATGTGGCTCTCTTATTCAACTGCGCATTATGAGTCCAGTGAAGATATCTGAGTTCTGAGTTTTACTTCCCCTTTCACATAATGTATTCAGAAGGAAGTACTTTTAAAATAGTCTTAAAAATATCTACTTTATATACTGCGTGTGCTATATTTCTTTATCTTGAAAGATATATCTCTTTCTTCTCCATCAAAGCTTCTGTAGTCTAAAAATGTCTTCCACAGCTGCTCTGGAAACACTTGAGGCTAATATGCCTCATTTTCCATCATGAATACTAAAGCGAATTCATGCAGAGTCCTCATGGGATTAGTCATAAAAATATATATCTATAAACCGATGTAAGACAAACACTAAATAGTCACACCGACACGTAGACAGACTGGGAACGGAAATAGATTCCAACTTATTTGGCGAGTATTTATAACAGGTGTTAATATTTATTGGCTAGATGTTTGGTAAAACTTTAAGCATATAACTGCCCAATCAAAAAAGGCCCTTCTTCGATTTTATTTTCTGTTTATATTTGTTTAATACTTGATACTGATAAGAAACTCGGCGACGAGTGCGTGTAAACATGAGGGAGTCAAGGATCAATAAGGGTATTGTTAGGGTAGGGCCCTAAAAATGTTACTTGAAGTTTAACTAAAATAATCAAACGTGACTGAATTTCTAAATGAATCAGGCAAACCAGATGCTGTTTAATGAATGGATTCGATTTACTCGATCAATGTGTTTCGCCGGGCAGGTTTTCCATTGAAAAAATCACGCTCACTACGCACATATTTTTGGGGATGGGTATACTATATATAAGTATATGAACAATCATAGAGTTCCCTACCATGACTCATATACACGACATTTTCATTTAGTTCATTAAAACGCAGAGCGTAGGGAATGTAAATAAACGAGTAAATTGCGAATTGCGAATGCGAACTCGTTTCTCATGGATATGCACATAATATGGATATGCACTTTTCGCGGTTCTACATGGTCTATGCGGAAATTTAAAAGTTATTCGCTCTTAATTGTAGTCCACATACTTATATTATAAATATTTTCAAGCCAATAAAATACTTTAAATCCCTCCATAGTAGTTATAACTAGTCCAACATTTATTTTTACCATCACACACTGTTGCAGGGCATAGCATATTTCAATTATTTGTAGTTTAGTACGCTTCTATTATTTAATGTCCATGACCGAATTACGCATCTTCCGTTCGGGGGATAGGTTGTTCGGAGGGACTCTGGATTAGTCACAACATGTACAAATATCAGTGAACCCTCTGTGTTTGTTAATTCTTATCGCCTTGATGTTATCACATGCCTTCTATCCGACAATCTGAGGGGTTCAGTACCATGTTGATATTGTGTCTGCCTATATTGCTAAAGTGATTGTGATTATCTTGAAAAAAATGAGTTATTGACATTTTAAATTTTAGGTTTTTTCTTTCCTTACCACCTACCTACGATTTTGCGGTAGAAACTGTAGCAGGTCATCACGCGAGTTCTGTTATAGGCAACCTTGACAATGAACACATTTGGGACTATGTATGTATATTAGAGCGGAAATTAGTGGAAGGCGGCGATGGAGTTCATTCCGTGCTGTTAGGTGAATCAGATTTAACGCTGGATAAGCCTTTCAAAACATTCCGCCAGCGACGTCTTTCTTCCAACCCAACAATTACCGTCGATGTATTGGATCACGACAATTTCAGCACTAATTGTAGGTATTTTAGAGTCCCATACGTGGGCCATGCCTCATGCCAGTTGGTAATGATAGTTTGGTGAAAGAAAGGGCTCTCTTTTGTGGTCTAAAGTATATAATTTTTTGTATTTGCTTCGCTTCATTTCAAAAGGTAATCAATTATTATGAAATCAGTATTCTCCAGGGGTCATTCGGAATTCAATCGAATAGTACTTGGCCCAATTCACACGTAGACTTGACCCGGTTCATTTTCTTTTATTGATATCCCATAACATATCCCGTTACATTTTTTTGAAATCTGACTCCGCCGGACAGCTTCGAAAATTTTTAAAAATAGATATATTGAATGTAACTGAAGGATATTTCCTTGGGGAATACCCCTTCAATCCTCTGAATTCTGAGTAAATAATAATTGTTCCTGGAGGAAGGACTCTTTTTTATAGAAATTGAAAGTAAAATGAAAAAATGTTCAGCAATCTTTGTTCTGTTGGTGATGTTCCAGCGGAAGTGCTTTTGTTTTTCTGCATATTTATCACGCTCAATAAATGGAAAAATAAATAATAAAGAATATAATTACAATTGCCAAGTGATGAGTGGGCTGCCAAATGAAACGAATCGCTAAAATGTATGCGTTCCAGATTATTTATCCAATAATGCGATAATGCGATTGAACACCTTTCAGCAGACTTTTCGGAAAAATAATTAAGTTATTTTGAGAACTCATCCAAACAAAATCTATATTGTACATTTTTGCGGTTTATTGGTTGCTGCAACACAAAATATACTAAATGTTCTGATATACGATCACATAGCTGGACTGGTTCTGCTTCGGGAATGTCCTTTCGAATGTCTTTTTTTGGGAATGTTTGAAAATCGAGTCTGCTCGAGTGTCCTGTTATCAGCTTTTGGCATGTGTATGTGGGAAAGGGTACTTGTCCTGTGTCTGCTATCCTTATTTCACCCTTCCTCGTCTTAGAATGTTTATTGGATTTAGAGACCTAGTACATGCGCAGGCGCATCTGTCGGATGCACTCCACCAGGCCCGATCTCATCGAGAAAAGGAGCGATATGCCAAAGCCCACTAGACTGATGAGAAAGAGCCAAGGCGTGGCCAGCACCACGATGAGAAAGATCAGTGTGTCGTTGCCCTTGGCATTGGTGAGGCGCCACAAGAGCTGACGCATGAAGCTGCGCAAGTGAGATTTGGTACGCCAGAGCCGGAAGCGGACGCCGCCCACCATTCCAGAAAATCGACCAGCCTGGCCCGGACCAGCTTTGATGATGAAAAGTAGTAGTTGGATCACCAACAGCAGATGCTTGGCAATCACACTCTCGCTACAGCGCTGGAACCACACCTGAAAGCTATGACGCCGCTGCTCCGGCAAAGCGGCTAGCAGGCAGCCGAAGGCGCGTTGCCAGCGGGAGGACTTCCCAGCACCGGCCTCGTCCTTCAGTTGCATGCGCAGATCGCTCTCGGAGTCGGTATCGCTCTGTGAAGGCTGTCCGGATGGCTTTTCCTGCTGCAGAGCGTCCTTTTGATTCGCACTCTTTTTAAGATTGAGGTTTAGGTTTATGGGCTTGTTGAGGTTCATTCCCAGGAGAGGTGGTGGACTCTTGGGGCTATCCTCCAGCAAGGACATCATAGATACATCGCCTTCGTACGGCCCATAGTAGTTGGAACCAGGGGATCCACGCTTTATACCGCTGCCTCCGGCACTGGCTCCGGCACTGCCTCCGCCGCTATTGCCGCCAGCAGGACTCATTCCTGCGGCTCCACCTGCCAGTATTCGCTGGGCCATGAGCAGAGGTGGCGGCAGGGACTCGATGCCCGCCTCCTCGGTTAGGGAGCGCTGGCGGCTGATCGAGCGCATCAAGGGTTTGGTGGGAGTGTGGGCCAGATAAGGCATCCCGTTGAGGCCATCCGTCCCTTGGCCAAAACCTCCGCTGTCGCCATTCTGTTGCGCGTTAAAGTTAAAAGCACCGGCGCCAAATCCTCCCTGGCCGGTTGTGAAGGGCGAACGATGCTTGTGCATGATTATTTTTTTTCCGAATCGCGATCTCTTGCTGCTTCTGCTTCTCTGATTCTGTAGGGGATTGGATTTGGCTGAATTTTGAGGTAACCGCTCTATTGGGATCGGTAGATTCCCGGATACTTATGGAGCTGCTTTCAATTTCTGGCCGTGTTGAAATTTATTTACGTTCTGACTGTGCTAGGTTGATATATGACATGAGAATCTGAAATTGAAAATCCTACTAGGATGCGATATTTAAAATTTTGAATGGTTTAGGTTCCATTTTCAAACACAACTTATATGAAAGTTACTCTCAGGTTTCACCCTCGAACCATGAAAAGGGTTCGAGGCGTTTATTCACTGTGCAAACAAAATACAGATTAAAACCAAGCCCAGCCTGATTAATGCAATAACTTTTTCCTTTGTTCTTGCAGTGCTGCCCGTAATAATCACGCCTTTGAGTCATTGTCCCGGACAACAGCCTGCCGACAGCCACTGTTAGTTCAATGTGATCCGCAGAGCAGAAGCAGCAGTATCACTCAGAGAAGTACGAGTCCAAGGTCTGGAGAACGAACACACTGCCATGTTGATGCGGTTAATCCTTACCGCCTGCCTAGTCCAGCTGGCTGTGGCTCAGGCAGAGCTGCGGAAACTAGATGGTCCCAATATCTGCAACAAGCGGGAAAAGTGAGTGTGAAATACTAGTTATTACTGTGACTAAAATGTTTTATTTATTTTGACCATTTAGCTATCCCGTGGAGGTTGTATATACGGAGCTGCAATCCTACCAGGAGCGTGGCTCGACTTGGTGCATGGCCATTCCTCCACGGTGTTCCACTTATCGGCTTAAAGATAGAATCGTCAATCGAAAAAAGGTGATAATTAAAACTCGCGTTGTGAAGGATTGTTGTGGTGAGTGCTTACTTCCTTACTCCTTATTTAATAATAGATATCTATCTAAACATGCCGCGTCCTTTCAGATGGCTACATCGCCAGTAATGGAGAGTGCGTGCCACATTGCTCGGAGCCCTGCGAACACGGCAGATGCATCGCCCCCGAAAAGTGCAAATGCGATCATGGCTACGGAGGACCCGCCTGTGATATAAGTACGTCCGTTCTCTAACAACCTATGAACTTGTTTTTGTGCCTAAATGTTTTATTGTTGCCACTTGTACAATGGACCGCCTTGTGGTTGTAATGTTGGCATTATCCAGCCCCTCAAATAGTGTCCCGTTCAAAGCTTTCAATGTTTTATGTCCTTGCAGAAAAATTATGAAGGGTTATTGTAGGCAATACTTAATAATTCAATATATAAAAGATTAGTTAGGTATAGTTTATGACACGACCCAGTAAAGCTGCTTAGAAATCTAAAAAAAAAAAAAAGAAAAAAAAAACAAAAAGAAATAAATACACATTTTTAAACAAAAAATGGATTTGGAGGACAATGAAAACCAGCAACCAGTGGGCCTCCCCACCTTTGGAATACCCAACGATCCTCTGCTCAAGGCAGTGTACGATCTATATAGGCCACCGGATGGTAGCTTCCGGCTGATGCAGAGCGAGCGGAACCGAGACACCTTTTCGGAGGCCTTCATCGAACACGAGAACGTGGGCACTTTGGCGGATTTGTGTGTGCGGGCTTTGGCCAAGCGTGGAACTAGGCACATCGTCGATCCTGTTCGTCTTAATCCTCTATGGCTGCGCATCCACTATGACGCCATTGACGTGAACCTGCCGCTGCGAGAGTGCTACTTTGTGGAGGATGTGCGCTTCTGGAAGCGAGTGGTGCTGTCCAAGAGCAGCGAACAGTGTCTGTCGCTGAAAGGCCTCAACGAATACGATTGGCGTGGCAAGGGCATGAGCATCAAGTACGTGGAGCTTGTGGAAGCTTGCTCGGCATCTATGTGGCCTGAACGCGAGATGACTGAGCTTGCGCTGCTGATACGGAACTATGTGCGCTCCATGGACATCAGGCACCTGCAGTCTCTTTCGGAGTACTCGCTTCGGAGGCAGGAACAGCATTCAAGTGACACGGAGCCGGAAGTGAGTTCGGAGGTAACTGATGGCATGGAGATCTCCAGTGACGAGATCAGCACCCCAAAGTCTCAGAGCGCTGAGGGTGAAGAGGAGCAAGAGACCGAACCAGCTAGCGCTCCACCCAAGCAGACATTCATCAGGGACAACACTACGATTGGTTTTAAAGTGGCAGCGCACTACGACGACTCCGAAGAGTCCACATCCGATATGGAGAGGAGGGATGCGCGCCGAAATCGGAACGCGGCTCGGCAGAAGCTGCGGGAACTGAAGGTTGCGCAGGAGGCGGAGCATGAGCGACGTAAGCTGCGCCGCATACATCTACTCCAGCGAGCACCAGGCTCACCGCCAAAGAAGAAGAAACGTCCCAAGCCTGTCAGAGGCGTCTTTGATATTGAGGTGGAGCCCGAACCAGATGATGGTGAGGAAAAGATTCTGGACCACCGGAACAAAACAAAGTACTTGCAATCTCTGAAGCAGTTCGATTATGACGAGGACACCTGCCACCACATCGACCTCAGTTTCGTAGGATACTTTGTCAACCTGGTTTCGCTGAACTTCGAATTCCTTGGCCCGGGGGCTGGTACCAGCTACCACAAGCGTCACCTACGATTCTCACTAAAAGACATGGTTCACCTGGCCAAGGGGCTGGCGAACCTCGAGAACCTGCAAATCTTTCGTCTGCGAAATAGCCGACTGAATTCCTTCAAATTGTATCCTCTCTGCCGGGTGCTTCGAGACCTGCCGGACCTAAAGGTGGTAGACTTTGGATACGCCCAGATGACCGACGATTGTGGGCCTTACTTGGGCATCCTGCTAGATAGACGGCATATGCTGAAGGCTCTGGAGCTGGAGTACAACCAACTGGACTTGAGGTCGGTAGCAGCAATCGGGGTGGCCCTGCAGAGGACGTCCCACTCCAAGCTACAGTACCTAGGGCTGGCCCACAACAGACTGAGCAGCGGAGCCCTGATTCACCTGTGCGAGCGCATAATCGGCACCGAGCACGTGGAGGAGCTGAATTTATCCGCCTTAGGAATCAGTTCCCAAGGGGTGTTGGTGGAACAGGTTGGCCGCCTGCTGCGCAACCACAAGCCTCTGCGAAGGCTGGACATGGCAGCGAACCCCCTACCCGCCACAGCGAGGAGGGAACTGATTTGTGCCCTGGAGGCCAATTCTAATATCACATACTTCGACTGCCGGGAATGCGATTTCGATGAGGACGAGGAGTTCGAGGCAGATATGATCGTTCGACGGAATATAGCCATGACAGAAAACCCGTACATCCGCGACACGGAGCAGTTTCCGGACACGGTCGCCCTACTGGAGCACGCCAAGTCTCTTAAGGATCCGATGGTGACTCGAATTGAAGAGGCCGTGGCCCAGCGGGAGGAGTGCTTCCGGAACTATCCGACCTGGAAGGCCAGTCGTGTTTCCGTCGAGGAGGTATCTGTACTGGAGAAGGAGGATTCGGACTACGATATCTGGACAGTGTTTGCGCGCCAAACCCAGACAAGTTCGTTTCTTCAACCGAATTATAACGAAAAGACGTGGGCAGTGTTAGATCCAGGCTCCCAAAAGATAAGCCAAGCCTCATCGCCAAAGTCAGGTGTATTCAGCTTTAATCCTAATAAATTCACCATCGAGCAGTTCCGGGAGCATGTCTATCAGCCAGGTCCAGGAAATCGGTACAATTACTTTGCAGAAAGAAGGGATTCAAAAATCTAGGGCTTACGATCTAGTCCCTCACAAATTTACCTCAAAATTAAAATAAATGTATTCAATGTAAGAAAATCAGTAAATGGTTTTAGTTATAGTCTAGTCTAGTCCCCAATTATCTAGTAAGATCCCTAATGGTTTTCTGCAAGGACATTTAGTCTTTGGATTACCAAAGACCTGCACCTTTAGAGACTTCGTAGATGTATGCTATCTTTGCTTATATTATGCTTTGTAGCTTGAGTTGGTGTCCTTTTTTGTTTGCCCTTAAAAGAGCCCTATTTTAACTAAAATCCACCCACACACACACGCATATAGAACACTCCAGATTAATCCTTTAGGTGCAAGCGGCTGCAGAACTCGTTCACTTGATTAAATAACAAATGCAATCCTAACCACAATTGTAAATACCAAGAGAGCAAAAGCTAAGGCACAGGTCCTGTAATCCTGTATTCCGCAAAGCGTAAAAAGCACGCTGCTAATAATGTTTATGTCATCTTCGGCAGATTGTCCGCCGGGCAGGTACGGCCGGAACTGCTCGATGGAGTGCGACTGCCTGAACGGTGCCGTCTGCGAGCCCTTCTCCGGTGACTGTGAATGCGCCAAGGGCTTTGCCGGACCTCGCTGTGCCGAGCTCTGCCCTGAAGGCCACTTTGGTGCCAACTGCTCCGAGGAGTGCCGCTGCGAGAACGGCGGCAAGTGTCACCACGTGTCCGGCGAGTGCACCTGTGCGCCGGGCTTCACGGGTCCGCTGTAAGTGCGGGAGAGGATGATTCGTTTTGACGCAAAAGGAACATGGCATAGAGTCCAGGGTTTATAGAGAGTTATCCGTAGATATCCTTCCATTTTTCATTTTATTACAAAAGTTTAAGTTTAAAAGTACGGAGACATTTTCTATGGCCCCGGGGCTGTATGCCTTGTTTACCTCAATAGCCCCAATCTCCGACTAATCCTCCGCTTCAAACTAGATGCGACATGCGCTGTCCGGACGGAAAGCACGGGGCGCAGTGCCAGCAAGACTGCCCCTGCCAGAATGACGGAAAGTGTGAGCCGGAGACCGGAGCCTGCATGTGCAATCCCGGCTGGACGGGTAACGTGTGTGCCAACAAGTGCCCGGTAGGCACCTACGGACCCGGATGTGAGCAGTCCTGCGAGTGCTACAAGGGAGCGCCTTGCCACCACATAACCGGCCAATGCGAGTGCCCGCCGGGATACCAGGGCGAGCGCTGTTTCGATGAGTGCCAGCTGAATACATACGGACTGAACTGCACCCAGAAGTGCGACTGCGCCAACGACGCCACCTGCAACAGGGCCACCGGAGCTTGCATCTGCAACCCGGGATGGCGAGGAGAGCGATGCGAAGAGCGAATATGCCCCACGGACAAATTTGGGCCGGACTGCAATAGTACCTGCGAGTGCGATATGGAGCACACGGATCAATGTCACCCGGAGACTGGCAAGTGTGAGTGCAGCATCGGCTGGAGCAGTGCCCAGTGCACCCGGCCGTGTACGTTCCTGCGCTACGGACTGAACTGTGAGCAGACGTGCAACTGCAAGAATGGAGCCAAGTGCTCGCCCGTGAACGGAACCTGCTTGTGTGCCCCTGGTTGGCGCGGACCCACCTGTGAGGAGAGTTGCCTGCCCGGAACCTTCGGCCAGGATTGCGCCCTGCGCTGCGACTGTCAAAACGGTGCAAAGTGTGTGTCGGAAACCGGGCAGTGCCTGTGCACGGCTGGCTGGAAGAACATCAAGTGCGACAGGCCATGCGACCTGAACCACTACGGACAGGACTGCGCCAGCGTGTGCGATTGCCAGAACAACGCCGCCTGCAATCCCCAGAACGGTACCTGCACCTGCGCTGCCGGTTGGACGGGCAAACGCTGCGACCGGAAATGCGACCCCGGAAAGTTTGGACACGACTGCAGCCAGAAGTGCCGCTGCGACTTCATGAACAGCCTAGCCTGCGACGCCACCAACGGACGATGCGTTTGTAAACAGGACTGGGGAGGTACTTTTCAGGGACTTGTATCCATCCCATTACCATCTCCTTCACCTCATCAAGTTTCATGGGACTCTTTTTGATAAATAATGTTCACTAAAGTAAAAACTGTAATTCATTTTACAAATTTTTATGAAAGGCAATCATTATTTTTCGTAAAATCTTTAACGAAAATTGACCTCAGATTAAATAGACATTAAAAAACCATATCCTGTAGGAATTTCAACTACTAACCATACCAACTCATACAAATAACCAATGCACCTGGCTCATTTTTTTCATAATGGAATGCATTCTTCTTGCATGCTCAACTTTTTGTTTGTTACCAATTTTAATTTGCGTTTCTGGTATTGCACCTGTGTGTTTCCGTTTTCCGTTTCTGTTTCGGCTTCTGTTCCCTCTTGTCCTGATTGAAATCGAACCCAAGGCGTCCATTGCGAGACCAACTGTCGGACCGGTTACTATGGTGAAAATTGTGATAAAGTTTGCAGATGTCTGAACAATTCCTCCTGCGACCCGGACTCTGGCAACTGCATATGCTCGGCGGGTTGGACAGGCCCTGACTGCGCTGAGCCATGTCCGCAGGGATTTTATGGTATGGAGTGCAAGGAGAGGTGTCCGGAGATACTCCACGGTAAGTGTTCGTACCGAAATCATTAAACACACTTCTAATTCTTTGACATTCCGCAGGAAACAAGAGCTGCGATCACATCACTGGAGAAATTCTCTGCCGCACCGGCTACCTGGGTCTCACCTGCGAGCATCCTTGCCCGGCCGGACTGTACGGACCAGGCTGCAAGCTCAAGTGCAACTGCGAGCACGGTGGCGAGTGCAACCACGTAAGTGGGCAATGCCAATGTTTGCCTGGTTGGACGGGAGCCAATTGCAACGAGTCCTGTCCGACGGACACTTACGGTCAAGGCTGTGCCCAAAGGTGTAGGTGTGTGCACCACAAGGTGTGCCGGAAGAACGACGGCATGTGCATCTGCGAAACAGGCTGGACTGGGACACGGTGCGAGGAGGTGTGTCCGGAAGGCTTCTACGGCGAGCACTGCATGAATGCCTGCGCCTGTCCCTCGTCTAACTTCCAGTGCCATGCGGCCCACGGCTGTGTCTGCCGAAGCGGCTACACCGGAGATAACTGCGACGAGTTGATTGCCTCCCAAAGGATCGCTAATCAAGGCGATGATTGTGAGTCCTGGATACAGATTTCCGATGAATATATTTCTAACGATTCCACCACCTGTAATTGCAGCAAGCCGCGCCAGCGTTGCCTTGACTTTGGTTCTGCTCACCCTGTTTGCCTGCATTATCTTTGCCGTGTTCCTATACTACCGCCGACGAGTGTCCAATCTGAAGACTGAGATTGCCCACGTCCACTACACCCACGACACAAATGCCACCGGAGGCTGGCCACCCAGCAACCACAACTTCGATAACCCTGTCTACGGTATGCAGGCGGAGACGCGGCTCCTGCCCAACAACATGCGCTCCAAGATGAACAACTTCGACCAGCGCAGCACCATGAGCACAGACTACGCCGGTGATGATTCCAACGCCAGTGGAAGAGGTATGCGGAATCCTTCTTCACTCTCCATGACTTCTAATGAGAAATTTGAATACTTTCAGTAGGCAGCTATTCGATAAACTACAATCATGATCTGCTCCGCAAGAACTTGAACGCGGATCTGACTAACCCGATTGTTTACAACGAGTCCTTAAAAGAAGAGCATGTCTATGACGAGATAAAACATAAAGAAGGCTACAAGGACCCTGGTAAGTCTCAGATAGTTTTCCGTTCGCCAGCATAGAATTTTCGCAACTAACTATATATACTCCACATTTGCACACATTTTGGCATAAATCAGTGAAAATTTATAGCAAGATTTTGTTTCCCGAGGGTAAGCAGCGTCCAAGAGTCATTCATGTTGTGCTCTGTCGTTTTTACCATACCTGTCCAATGTTAAAAGTTTGGAAAGTTGTCGGATATCGAAGAATAATTATGCTTTTCCATTCCCTTAGATGAATACGATCATCTGGACTACTCACGCCCGAGCACTTCCCAAAAGCCGCACTACCATCGCATGAACGATGCCATGCTGAACATAAACCAGGACGAGGAGAAGCCAAGCAATGTGAAGAACATGACTGTGCTTCTCAACAAGCCTGATCCTCCGACTGAGCCGGAGCCCCAACAAGAGAGCTTCGACAACACGAACTCCAATCTCGACAACGTGTCGACAGCATCGCCCAGTTCCAGTCCGGAGTTTCGAAAATAAGCAGGCTACTCAATAGCCATGAAAATAATTTAAGGATCGAACGATTACTGAAGATCGAAAACGGGGAAGAATTATGTAATATTGATATTTAAATTGTTCTGTCTCGTCACGTATGTCACGTTTTAGTCTAATTTATATTATTAAGTTTTAGTTTAAATATTAAGTAATGTCATTTGTCAAGCATTCAAGTTTTATTTTGCCCAGATGAATAGATATCTGCTCAAGAAATTGTAAATTATTATTTTAGGTTGATACTATTTTGTAAATGTCTGCTTCATTTGGTCTTTAACATTTTAAACGAAAAATCATGCTCATTTGATCTATTGTCAACTTAAGAAAAGGATATTTAATTAAGTACCTAAATATATATATACACCTCTTCCTGTTAAAATTATACGGGAGCGTCTCCTAGAGAAGCTCGTTTTGAAGCGAAGGTTGCAATAATTTTTAAAGGAACGTATGCATATACAGATTGATATCAATAGGATATTAAGAAAATGGTATTTATATTTTTAATGAGCCACATACATATATTTGTAGAAACATTTTAAAAGCAACTGCATAAACACAAGTTCATTTATTCAATGTTATCACTATCTGTAATACGAATTGGCCAAATTCTGATATATTTTAGATAAAATGTTAAAAAGTAGCTCAAATATTGGAATGTTTCGATGTGTCAACCCTTTTAAAAATACCTAACCTCTTCCTCTGAAACTTTGTGAATATTATTATTTGTATACAGTCCTGTGCTCATTTCGCAGATAATGAAAATAAATAAAAAATGTCAGTTGTGGCTGAATTCCCAAAAATAATATAAAATGTCTTAAAAATGGTTCCCGACTTTTTTTTAAAGATTTTTTCTATTATATCGCATGCGATTTTTGTATTTTTTCAAAACACTATCATGCGAGAAGTGAGAAAAATCCTAAACCGATCCTTATGTCGGCCACACTATTGGACTTGAGACTCTCAGAAGAGTTCGGAAATATTTAAAAAAAATTAGAAAAAACCTGGAAATATAGGTAAATGAAGTACAATTTGTATTAAATATAACTCATGATATTTATGTATTTATGTATATATTTATTTTAATATCTTTTCATGTTATTTAGGAGAAGCATCAAGTACAATAAGTTTACAAAATGGGTTTTCTCTGCATTCGTCTTTGATCTTCGCTTAGCAAGTTTTTCTAGTAGATGGACTTATGGTCTTATTGTTATTACAATGGATAAATATAAAATCCTGTGGGCTTTTTCACAAGGACACACTCACACGTTAATGGAAATTTTAAATTACAGACATCGACCGATACGTACATGATTACAGTTTATAACTAGAAGCGTACTATGGAGCGCGAATGAAGGGTCTGGGCCTACAAGTGTCTATAATGGTTATAATGCTAAATGTATTAACTGTAGAGCTTGACTTGTTTGGCGGTGCGGTGGGGCACCAGGAGGATCGTTTATGAAATCTCAGTGGGACTACGAGGGTCTAGTTATCCAAAAAGTTCACACTTAAGCAATCTACAGGTATCCGTGGCCAGCCACCTCGGCGGGAATGAAGCCCTCACGTCCGTCCCGCGTCCGGACATAGAACCACTGACGTTGGTCCTTGGACTCCCGGCAGTCGCACAACGTCACAATCTCCCCCTTGTGCACAGCGATGCTCTCCGTGATGTAGTCCGTGCTGATAGCGACTAGAGTTTGCCGCTGGCCCACCTCATCCTGCTGTTGCTGTCGGAGAAGTCTGAGCGACTCGGCCTGACTCTTGGCCGGCTTGTATGGTGGCAGGGGGACCGTTTGCGGATGCTGATGGGGATGAGGATGCAGATGCTGGCCGTTCTGGCCGTTGGTGATGTATGAGGAGACGTTCGAGAGGCGTCGCGTGGGCTGCGACTGGTGAAGATGGGAGACAGGTGGCGCCTTTGAATTGGAATGCGACTGTTTGGTCGCCGACTTCTGCTGCAGGGTCACATATTCGTCCTGGGAGGCCGCGCTCCTGGCTGAAACAGATCCGGAAGTAACGTTCCGCGTAGAGCGCAGCTGGGCGTAGGCCTTCTCCACCAGACGCGGCTTGGATGCCGCTCTCAAGTACAGCTTATCCACCTGTTGTTCTCCGTAGAGGGAACTGGCCGTGCTACCGCTCTTGTTGTTGTTATTGCTGTGGTGCTGGTTGTTGTTGTTGTTAATGGTGGTGCTACTGATCTTCAGCAGATCATCCTGAGCAGGCTTAGTACTACGTGGCGTGCGAGCACCGTCCGATCGAGTGCCTCCCCGTAAACGGATCTCCTTCTCGGAATCGGTCATGTTTCCACAAGGTCGGGGAAACACGTCCGCATTGGTCTCCCAGCAGGGGGTGTTTCTGGAGGACCCATTCCTAGCCTGTTGAGGCAGAATACCCAAGGGTAAACAGCAGGCGTAGCCCACATATCCTTCCTCGGCGTGCGGCGTCTGGACGTACAGCCAGTTCTGGTTCTTGAACACTGCATTCACCACCATGCCCAGAGGCAGGGGGATCTCCAGCTGGTAGCCACCAGGGCGTGTTTGGTAGAGTGTGCTAGCCGTTGCCAGGACCACCGGGATGTTTCCCGGCGTAGCCAGGGAACAGCGTGAGAGGAACTCGTCGACGTTATGGATCTCGTAGCCAAAGCGTTGCACTCGATTGCGATCCCGGCGCTTGCGGTGGCGATGCCTCCGCTGCTGCTGTGGTTGTTGAGCGGCACCTGTGGTTCCGCCTCCGCTGGTCGCTCCCCCTCCTCCCTCCGAGGCTGCAACCAAGCTGGGCTCCGAGTAGGAGGTGCACTTCAGCGACTCCGCTCCTGTGACCGATCCTCTGGTCTCACTAGCCTGGGATCGTGCTTGCTGGAGTCGGGAGGCCAGCTTTTTGCGGATCTCGTTCCTCTTCCTGGCGAGGAGTAGGGCTTCGCTGTGGCCATCACTCCGGGGCGCCCTCTGGGGAGTGCACACGAAGAGCAATTCTTTGGTGGATGCGGCGGTGGCCACAGGGGCCCCCGCAGAAGGACCATTTCTGGACACGTCCAGCAGGTTCTGGTTGCTGAAGAACTTCTGGTTGGTCAGATGACCGTTTGGAGGGGCCTGGTGGGCGGTGGGCGTGGTGGCATAGCCATTGAGCGGTTCTCCGCCGCCAGGCAACTGTTTGACTCTGTACCGCTTCTTGGAGACATCCAGCTGAGTCGGAACCGGCTCGGTTCTGGCTGGCAGTAAAAGTTTCTCGGCGGGTTGCTTTTCCACCGCATCTGTGGAGGGCTCCTTCTGTGGCGTCGCAGGACTTGCCGGTGTCTGTGCCTGCTGCTGAGTCTGTTGTTGCTGCTGTTCTCGGAGCACCCAGGTCAATGAAATGCGCGGACGGCGGAGGCTCAGGTTCTGACCCATCGCCAGTTGGGGAGTGCTCTTGGCCCGCCCGGCGGCGACTAATGGAAGAAGCTCGTCGATCTCCACATAGTCTGAGCTGTACTCAACGCTCTCCGGCTCTAGAGGAGCCGGTGGCGGTGGAGTGGCCGTAAAATTTCCCACCGAACTTGAACTACTGCCGTTGGGTTGCTGAAGAATCAGGGAACAGGCGTGCAGTAGGTCCGGACAATAGGCATCTGAAAAATAGTAACTGTTGCATAAACCATTCTGACCATTCTGTTCTGTGGAGTACTCACCTCTCAATCCTCGTCTGCGTCGTTGTCGGCGTCTGTGCCCACTGCCACCGCTGCTCGATTCGGAGCTGCTGGATCCGGAGCTGCTAGAGCTATCTGTGCTGGACGCAAATCTTAGCTGCTGTTGCTGCTGCTGCAAGTCCCGGAGGCGGCGCCGCCGTCGCGCCTGCTGGCGTGCTTCTAACTCAGCGGCCGATGGATGCACCGGCAATGGTACTGGACGGGCAACGACTTCGACCACTCCTTGGCGGGGTCGCTCTGTGTAGCTGGGAGGCGGGGTTAGCGGCAGGAGGCTGGGGTAGGGAGGGTACTGAGGAGGCGGCGGTATGAGGAGCCCTCTCCGGACAGATTCCTCGAGCACGTAGTCGTTCTCCTGGGCCTGCGGCTCTACTGTTCGGGAACCTTCAAGCCCCAGGGGCAGGCCATCTTCTGGAGAGGAAGCTGGGGAGCCAGTCTCCTGGCGGTATGCGGGTAAAGGTGTGGAAACTGTTGATAGAAAATAATAAAAATTAAATGAATAGTTTTTATTAAAGGTATTATAATAGAATCTTTAACTATTTTACTCATTCAACTAACTTTTTATTTATAATTTAATTACAGTTTAATTCGACTTTCTAAAACAGAAAGATTTACAGTTTCTATATCCTCTTGTTGTAGATTCTTTTACCAGCTTTTAATGAACCAAGTCCAACAGAAACCCAACCACTCTTCCGTTGGCATGTAAGGCCAGCTCAGACTTCACATGGCTATAAAAATTCCAATTATATTAAAGATTCTTTCGAATCAAAAACAATAACGTGGTTTGTCGCTCCGGCTAGAGATTAGCCCACCATGCCCTCGTCCCGAACCATAAAGACCAGAAAGCCCCGATAACGACACCTGAAGCAGCAACACCCACATTGGGGGAGCATCGAATATTTAAAATATTTGCCAATATAAATGTCAGGAGCTGGCGGAGATCGGAGCTTGGGGGACTAGTTTGTGGCCTCCTTCATATGCGGCTATCAAGGCCAAGATCAGTCGGCTCCAAATGGCAAGGCGAAGGTGAAGACACCCGGGCGAAGATGAAAAACTACACAGCGAAAAGAAGCCCCATGTTGGACTATGGTTTCGGCTTATTGGGGTATTAACGGCGATTTTGTTACCAAAAAAGTATTCCAAGTGTACGATGCTGGCGGAGAGCGAAAAAAGGATTTACGCAGACCGAGAGGAGCGTGGCCAATAAAATTCCAAACTGATATGCTCAATGGCAACAACGTGCCACAAGTGAGTAGTAAAATGTCGAAACGTGACGGTATTTCAAAATACCGAATATTGGATTGAGCCAATACGGCCAGAGTCAGTAGTCCCTGCTCTTTCACTTCTCCATCCAGCCATCTCTTTCGCTTTTTAGCACATTTGCACAACGTTCAATGAAAAAAGAAACCATCAACGGAGGAGGGGCGAACCTCAAGTATAAACGAGGCTTGTACACTCTCACAAAAATTATGGCCAGAGAAACTGCAATTACGCGCTAACAAATTGTGACATCAAAACATGGCCACGAGGAATGCAATAAACTTATGGCTTCGGAAATAAGTCTAGGTATGATTGATCCAGTTTTCAACATAGAACATAAATGGATATTTATTTAAAGCTTGAGTGATGATATATTTAAAGAAATTTTACTTTAAACTACTTAGAGTGAGACGATCTGTTCTCTAAGATCATAACAAAGCCCTGATGACCTGCAGAAAGAACAAGGCCCTGAGCTCTGAGCACCGTTTCTGAAATCCAACTACAACGGCAGCAATGCGACTTTAACGACCTTTGTGAGGGGGGCCCCAGTTGAGAGAGGAGTAGGTTAAGGTGGAGTCGGACTTGGGCTCAGAGATGGAGTTGCACTTGGAGCTTGAGGAGTCGCAGGCGGACGGATCTGTCAGTCCGATGGTGGGTTGTGTTGCCCCGGCCCTTATCAAAAAGGTTGAAGCGCAGAGATCGTGCGAGGATTACATGGGGTGTGACGACAGACCGGCTCAAAGTCATTCACTCAGCTCCGACTCGACCAACTCGAGGCTCTAGCTGCAGCATCGACTCCAACTCCAGCTTGATCGTGATGCTGTGGCCTTTAATGGCCACTACGTGAGACGTGATCTCCTTCTGGCACACTTAAAAAACCGAATCGTTTAGTTTCCCAAGGAATGCAACACTGAATAATCCAATAATGGTATATAGTCCATTTTTTTTAGTGCACCTGAACCGCAACTAAGCGGGACAGGGCGCGATTGAAGGCGTGCCTGACCAAGGGGCAGATGGGTCAGCTGGGGCCGCTTGAGGCACCAAGAAAACGAAAGTGTTGCTCCGGGTCGGCAGACCTCTAATTAAACGCAGACGGCTGCCAAATTAGCTAATGACAACATTGTGCCGGAACCGGCGACTGAAACTGCAACAGGAATAGCAATCAGCCCCAGCAACATGCAACTGCTGCTGCAACATCGAAAACGCATTGCACAAATCACAAATCCAAAGCTGCAACGACTGCCCAAAAATGGACAACACTCTGACAAATTTGTTTTGCAACTTGTTGGCCCGCCTGGTGCTGCAAATATGGTCGCTCCACACCAATCCGCCCAACATAAGCTGAACATGGCCAGTGGCCACTGGGGCATTCATGTCTATATCCACGGACCACGTTCCCGGTGACGAGAGCCAGTCAGTCAAAGCCGCCGCACCGATGTCAGTCGCCTCTAGCTCCGGTCTCTGGTCTCCAGTCTCCGGACTCTGGACCCTGGTGACTGGTGCCTAGTCTCTAGACTCCGGACACCAGTCTACACCATTGGTAGGAGCTGTTGGCCTGGCCCAGTGCGACTTTGGTGATAATAATTCAATCGAGAAAAATGTCCAAGCGTGCAAATCGGTCAATTGATTTGTGTCTGGGCTGGCGGCTGAATAAGGCGTTTGGAATTGATTGCTGATGCATGTGATTAACTGCCACGGCAGATCAACTCTAGAGTCATAAACATTATTGATTTGATTTGCTATTAATTAAAGAAAGACCTCACATTCTATAGCTTCTAAAAGACCGATGTGCCAAAACTAGAGTGTGGGAACTTACAATGAAATCGGATCCAAGTCAGGGTTACTGGCACCGAGCACCTGAGGAACTCTAGGTATTTTCAATCAAGCTAGAGATTAACGCTAACCTCAGCTCCGGACTTTGGATGGCCGTCTTGCCAAATCATCTCCCTCTTTGCGTCTACCTCAGACTTCTCCTCCCAGGGATCCTCCATAGATGCTGCACAATCGATAACTGTCTTGGTCGGCGTTTCGCGCACGTCCCTCGCATATATCTTAAATGGCAGCCGCAGATAAGACGCACTAATAAGATAAAAACATTTTAATTGCCACTAAACATGGCAGCGCCATGAAAAGACCACTCTCTCCTCCCTCTAATCCCCCCCAGCTTTACAGCCTTAGCTCCAACTCCATCACCATGTCTGTCTCCGATGGCTCAGCTTCGGGCCAGACAACTGTAAAACGGCAACAGCACCACTCTGTCCAGCTAAATCGTTGTCGCTGCTAATGGGTTAACAAAACGCCACACACAACAATATAAATAAGACTCTGATTTCGTTAAGATTTAATTAAAATTGTGTTCCGATCTGCTCCCAGTCTCCCCTCCGCTGAGGTGGCAAACAAATTAAAATGCTTCTGGCGCGATCGTCAAATCTTTCACGACCCGCCCAGACACAGGGTCATTAAGCTGACCAGCCTGGACACCGGACCGGACACCCAAAAGCCCACCGCCCCGAGCAGGCCGTAAAAGACAGAAAGCTTGCTTGATTGTTGGGTAGTCAATAAAGCTACTGTAATTTTCTTTGAGCCAGCTTAGGGCAGATGAAACTAATAGAGCAGAGTCCTAAACTAGTAGATATTGACAGGACTTTACGACTAAAGACCCTTTAAATATAGCCCAAAGCGATTGCAATATCTTTGCTAACAATCATCGAACTCTCAAGTGGCATACTTTAACTGATTTGTAATTCGATTTTGTATCTGTCTTTAGCACAATCTAGAAGGAACGCTTTTCCTAATTTTCTTTACAATTTTCTGGACTACCCCCTTTAAAAATTTGGTTATTTCATGAAGATGCCAATATGGCCCACAGGGATGATATATCTTTGCCAATAATTATCCGATTCACCAGCGGAATATTTGTGGATATTGGTGATCGATTTGGGGATCAATTCTCCAACAATCTGCATCTAAACTACAAAATAGCCATTCGTGCTAAAAAACTTAAGCTCCTGGCTGTCTGGCGATTAAATGTCCAATTGCTTCAGGGAGGCCATAAAAGCCAGAAAAAGGTTGATTGTTTATCAGTTAGTTAGAATAGGCAGCAGGCATTGATGTTCTGCAAGCCAATTTGTGGCTAGAAAAGGCCTATCGACCTAAAGCAAAGGCTTAAACTTAAGCCTTGGATTCTTAAGCGAAATAAGTGGACGTCATTTCGCCATTAAGAGGAAAATCAGCGTCAAAATATGACCTTTTTTAGATTTTTCACCAAAAAGTATAGATGAAAGTTTAGAATAGGATCTAGTGGTCAAATTGGGGCTTCAAACTAAAGTCAAGATTCAAAGAAACAGGCTGACTTATAAGTTGATACTGGCCATCGTGTTTACTTCTCTTGCCAACACGTTTGGCTTTTCCGAAGACTGGCAGTTCCTGTTGACAAGCTGTGGATACGATGCCTGCCACTGCACAGCCATTAATTGGCTAATTTATGTTGAGAATAATTTACACAAATTTCAGTTTTTAGCTCTTCAATTAGCCCGGATCATGTTGCTAGACGAAGTGTGCTCAAGTCGGGTTTTATGTATTTTTGATGGGCTCTTGAGCTCTTGGGTGGTCAAGACATTTCGACTTCTTCAATAGGTGTGATTCCCAAACGCGATCAAAAGTGAATTAAGCATCATTTTATCGGCCTCAAGGAGCAGCCCTTTAAGGCCGGAAAATGGAGACTGGGTTGCGGAGAATGCGGTTTCTGGCCAGGGCAATAAAATTAAACGTTTGTTAGCTGTGGGTTTTGTTTTTGACTTGGTGCGTGTTTTTAAGCGGTTTTAAATATTTATGAGCCCATTTGGAGCCGGGCTGCTTAGGCCGCACAGAAATATCATTTTATGGCATTAATAAATTTAAATGTTGCGGTTCGGCTGTTGAACACGAAAATGTTTCTGAGGTGCGGAAATGAAAGTGCTTTATCCAGGTGAGAGGAACCTAGGCTCTAGTGAGGCAAGGATGTTACGGAAGAATAGCATTAAATGATTAAGGAAGTTAAGAAATAACTATGAAAAAATAGTTTCTTTTCTTTTTCCTTAGACTATATCTAGTCGAATTCAATTTTTCAATTTTTCTTCACTTAAGAAATGAACAAGAAAGTCTTATCGTCCTGCTTGACAACTTTTTGTACTTCTTTCCTATCTGACAGTCTTGCTTTTCACTTGAAA